TCTCTCTCTCGGCTCCCAACGACCACCAAACCGTAAAACACCCGCCCCCCCCCCCCCCCCCCCCAGTTTCATCAGTTCCCCCTACGCCCAACAACGATTAACTTCGCTTCCCCTACCTCATCCACCCATCCATCCATCCATCCATCCATCCATCCATCCATCCATCGATCCATCGACTGGCTTCCATCTCCTAATTCCCCTTTTACCTTGTATGTAATTTGTCATTCCGGTCTCGCATCCCGCTACGACCACTATGTCGTCCTATTTTTTCTCGCCACAGCAACAGTACCACCACGCAAGCCAGCAGCACCACCAACACCAGCAACAACATCACCAGCAACATCACCAGCAGCAGCAGCATCCCCTCCCTCCCTCCTCCCATACTGCTGCCTCGTCTTCCAGCTCCCACCATGGTGGTCGATCCCGCCGTTCCCACAAGTCCTCACACAACAGCAATAACAACAACAACGGCAGCAGCAACAACAACAACAACAACAGTTCCTCCCACCGCCAATTCCGAGGCGTCAAAAGCATGAGAGAACTATCTGAAGCACCGGCAGTATCTGCCTTCCGTGCTCGTTTCGAGGCAGGCCGCTCCTTCGACCTTGACGATGACCTGGAATTCTGTCCCAGTCTCCTGACAGAGGACGATGTACGTGAAAAAGTTCAATTCTTCCTAGCTGTAGAAATGTCCTATTTTCATTCCATCATGGAAAAGTCTCAAAACCACCATCCTTGAAAACGCTTTTATCCTAACAATCTCTCTTTTCTCACAAACAGCTCCAATCCATCCACTCCTACGCTTCCGATCGTTCCTCTCTCGCAAGTCTCTCCCCCGACTCCTCGCCCTTGCAACACCAAATTCAGCCCGCCCAACAGGTGACACCGTCAATCTCACTCTCCCCAGCCTCGATCTCGAATGCATCAGCATCCGCGGCTGCTGCTTTTGGGTATAATCTCAATCAGATGAAAGATCCATCAACCCTCTGCGGGTTAGGGTAAGGAATGCTATTCCGATCGTTAATCCGAGTACGGGCATGCGTGTGTCGAGTCCAACGCAGAGATGGTAGATGCCCTCCCTTCTTCCTATTGAGCGGTTGTGAAGATATTCCCCCCAAGCCCCAACGACTAGTAGAACACAACTACAAACAACAACCAAAAAAAAAAAAAAAGAAAAGAAAAAGAAAAAAGGCTGCTGAAAACGCTTCATCGATTGATCATGTCAATTCTCCTCTCGCCCCAAACTCCCTATGTTGTCGCTCTTCCAAAATTCTGCCAATATGTCGTTTTATGTCAACTCGATATCCCTTTTTTGAGAACCAACCTGCTTTTCCCTAAGCAGAAGAAGAAAGGAAAAGCCAAACTTCCTCTCAGTCGTATCCGCAGAACTCCCTTGCTTTTAAACGATAATATTCTTTCCGCCAATGCGAAAATCCGACAACCACAACCACGTCAAGAAATTCCTCTCTACTTGTACATACGACATGAAACGTCCTAACTGCCGTCGTCGAATTTCCTCCATTTTTCCCTCAACATTTTCAATTTACAAAACTCTATCCTGGTGATACCATGTACCATCTGACGATACATCCCTCTTTTTATATTCCTGTTTGAGTTTTTGATCATGTGTTTGAGCAACGGCGCCTATGCGAAATGGATATATCCTGGCTTCTGCATCATTGCTTCGTTCGTTTTCTCTCCTTTTTACCTTGTTAAAACCATTTAACCCTCCCTCCCTCTACGGTTACGATGCGGACAGCGAAAATGAAAAAAAGGCAGTTAACGAAATTTTTTGTTGCCAAAAAGTAAAAATCTGATGGCCAGAAAGGGTATCGGAAGACGTATCATGACATACATATAGAATGAGCGGTTACTTTGCTGTTTGGGTGTGAAGTTTTGTTCTCTCTTTTCTATTCTTTTCATATGTATATGATTTTCTATATTCATATATGCAATTTCTTGACAAAAGAGGGTGGGATGTGGGCTCTGACATGATCTGATATCGCCTTGGGCCTTTTTGGAGTTGTTTTTGTTTCTTCAGCCTATCTAGCGTTGGTTCTTCAACAGCCTTGTGGGTTTGCCTCTTCACAACCTCTCTTACTGCGCATTGCATTACATCGCATCGTATCACATCACATTGCCCTGCTTACTTTTTCTTGTACTTTCTGTTAATTTACATACCACTCTCTTATCTATCAATTTGTTACAAATCTAGGCTGTGGGGGATCTGGAATGGCGTGTATGGTTGTGTTCAGTGTTTGCGTTTTCCCGTGTATCCGATCTGGTTTATCAAGCAGGGTTTGGCTGGTTGGCTGGTTGGTCAGTCGTGTTTTGCCTTAAACATGTGTATGGGGTATGTGTGTGTGAGTTTGTGCAGGATTATTTCAAGTATTCATTTTTTCATGGGACTTGCCATTCATATCATAACATGTCTGATCTGATCTGATATTCAGAGCACAAATTCTTTTTTATCTCTTTTTGGGTTGTTTTTTGTCCTGGCTGGTCTGTCCCTGTCATGTTGGTCGGTGTTTTTCTTTCTGGGTTGGGAAGAGAAGCTGAGGCTTGACATCTAGTTGGGTTGGAGCTCCCGCCCTGTGATTTTTTTCTCTTTGATTTGTGTTTCAAGCTAATTTTGTGTGTTGCAAACTGAGAGATTTTATTCTTCTTTTACTTAATTTATCACAGCCTTTTTTTGATATATTTTATTTTTCATTCCATAGTCTTAATGTAAAGTGTCGTTCATATATTTAAGAAATTGGGTTGAAGTTTTTCGTCGAGTGTAAATGGATGGATGGTATGAGTAGAACGGTCAAAGTCAAGACGAAATTTGTTGGAAGCGGGAAGTAACTTAGCGCTCTCCACTCGATCAACTCATGCTTCATTAATTTACTGCTAAATCGATAATTTTCATCATCAGGGTTTTTAACCTTCACTTTCACTTCTATATTCTGAGATCCTTTTGTAGTCAGTTAATCTTGCAAATTGCTGTGAACTACAGTCTGTGTTCCCTACAGAGTTACATATATCAATATAATGTTCAAAAAAAAAAAAAAAAAAAAAAAAGCTGCAATGCAAATGTCATAGGTTTTGAGGTATGTAAACACTCCGTAACTACATGTAGATGGGACGTCCGACATTGAGCTACTGAGAGACATTCTCCTGTCATGATTACATAAACGAATTGGGCTGAGATGGTCTGTCAGTTGGGTTGATTGATTGATATGATGCTTCTGATGCAATATGGCGCATAGAGGCGGAGGAAGAAGGCCAAGGGGCGTGGAAGCAGAGTTAGTTGGAATAGCCAATAAAACATGCACATGAGGGGGGAACTTTTTGAGTTGCCTGCCGCCTCTTGGGCTTGGCGGCCACCACATTGCTTGTTGATTTGCTAAGCCTTGCGGTAAAACGGGTTGAAATAAACCTCTGGTATTTTTGCGGTATTTCATGCGTGGGGATGTTTCTTGGTAGATTCAGGTACTTTATATAAATGTGCTGTATAGTAATGGCTGGAAACATATCGATTAAAAAGGCGGAGTTACTCGTATATCGTTTTGCGGGTATCTGCACACTATATCCATGCGCCCCCAAAAGGGTCTTCCCAACTCCTCCTTATTGACCTCCTTCACTTTTTGCTCCCCAAGCTGTTCTGTCGTATTGTTTGTTAACGCTCATCATGCATGCCCACCCGGTGGTGTCGCCGTTTCCACCAACTTCTCATGGTCATCATCCTGATGGGGATTGCATGTCTGATAATGCAGCGCCTTTAGGATATAGAACATTCCTACCGCCAGCAACGAGCCCAGCCCTGGCCCCACCCAGTAGATCCAATGGTAGCCCGGGAACTGGCGGTTGATGACGTCAGGGCCTAGGGAGCGGGCAGGGTTTAGGGAGCCACCGGTGAAGGGGTCGCCTATATTATATGTAAGTTTTTAAGAAAGGAACGGACAAGAAACATCCCGAAGGAGTGAAAAGAAAAACAATCGAAGCAAAGAACGTACCACAGAGTTCCGTTAAGAAGAACGCCAGTCCAATTCCCAATGGCGCCAAGTATGTCGCCTTGTGCTTCACGGCTGCTAGCATTATGATGGTAATCACCAGTTGCGCAGTTAGGAACATCTCTATGAATAGACCTTGCGGTATTGAGGTACCAGAACCCAGGCGCGTGAATACGACTAGTGGGCCCGGGAAGAGGCAAGAGACCACACCGGCTGCTGCGATGCCAGCGACAATTTGCGCGGCAAAGACGAGCACGGCACGAATGGGCGAGAGGGAGCCGATGAGGAAGAGCGCAAGGGTTACCTGTTTGGTTTTTATTAAGGGGTATTTATTTTGAAAAAAATGCTTTTGGAGGCAAAGCAGCGCGAAGGGCCACCGTAGGTAGATGGGAGTTAAAAAATAGAGCAGAACGGATTCTGTTTGATTCTGCATTGACGTACCGAGGGATTAAACAACCCGCCCGTCACACGGTAGAATACCCATACGTTCACGGCGAGAGAGGTGCCAAATGCCAAGGAGGAATAGAGCAAGACGATATGATTTGGTTTCGCGCCGGAGTTTGGAGGGGGGTCATTGGAGACCTGCGTGCCAGCGTATGAGAAGAAGAGGAAGAGGAAAGTGCCGACGAATTCCCCTAGGGTAGCGATGAAATTGTTGCGGAATGTGTCTGGGAGATTGCCACCTGGGAAGCGGGTGCTGAGGGTGGAAAAGCGGCGGAAGGCTGAGGGAGGGGACCCGCCATGATTATTGTTACTGGTGATGGGCGGGTTTGGGGCGCTCATGGCTCCTGGGGTGGGATCTTCAGGTATTCGGGGAGTGACTGAATCTGTTGCAATATTGGCAGAGTTTTATAAAGGAAACATCGTAGGGAAAGGGGAGGCGGTTCCACAGTTGTTCCTTTATATCGAAGGCAGAAACCGGAATGGCTTGCCATGGCATGGGGAGTTCGTAGCTGTCAACCAAAGTCGACCAAGGGTTCAAAAATGGTTATTCATTTTCTCTATGGCAATTTTGCCTATTGCATGTAGGGGCCTCCAACGCCCAAAGTGATAATAACATCAGGCCAGCTTCGGTAGGCATCGCATCAAGGCATCGTAGCGAAACTTTGTTTATCGTTTCTGATCATACCGGATCCATATCAAAACTTCGTGCATACAACCCCGGTTCTCGATCACGATCTAGGCACGAGCTTTGCCGCCCGGAACGAAATCAGCCCCAGGAATTTAAAAGCAAACCGGGACATATTTAAATTCGGCTGGTAAGATGATGTGACCGGGTTCTTTTTTGGCGTAATATGCCATATCTGATATGAGGTGTCAGTGTGGATGTTTTAAGCTGCATAATCGCGGGGACTATTGAGTTCGAGACACAACTTTAAACTTTAGTTAACTGTGAGGAGATACCTGCACTCATCCAAAGACCGCACATTGAACCTACATAAGCCAGGGTGGATTTGAAAATTGGAGACCTGATTTCCCTGAAGGTTTATCATTTGAATGGGGACGAAGGTAAATACCACACCCCTAATCAACGCGACAGTTCGCGGGACTGTGTAGGGAGCCCTATTTCAGCGAGAGCCACATGTCTCAAATCCGTCGGGATCATAAATTAGGGGATCCCGGATTCTGGTAGATTTCCAAATATCGAATATCATGAGACATGAGTCAAGAGGAGGGGATGAATCTGCGGTTGTAATGCCATGAAAGGCTCTGCCGCCTCTTAGCAGGAAGGCTAGCTGAAGAACATAGTGGATTATTATCTGACACTGAATTTGGCGAGGTTCATTCTGGCTTAAGAGGATTCACGGCCAGTAGTACCTGGAATGACTTTGATACTAAAATTGAGGCTTTCTTCAACGTCAGTGGGGTAGTCTGAGGTTTAAATTGTAAAGTCCCGTGGTTGTCTATATGTCATGTGGGCTGTAGTGAGAGACCCGCTCAGGTAATCAGAGGTTTCTTCTTGAGGGCTGACAGAATTTCTCAGCTTCTGTTCAATCATCAGTTCTGTCAGAATATTGTGTTTTCATGGATTTTGCAGGGTAGATAGCACTGGCAAAGTGGCACCGTTATCTTATGGACAGTTCTTGGTGGTCCACAAGCAAGGATAACAGGGTTAGTTAAATGAAGAGATAGGTGTTATAGATATTTGAACGAATGTGGCTGATGCTCCGTCTTACTGGACTATCTCGAGGATTAGGAGATGGAAGTCCGACGCTATCATGACTATCGGGAGGGAGAGGTCAATCGAATCCACTGAGAATAACAGTGCTCTCCGACCCTGCCGCCTTCAGTCGATAGCCAATCCCTTCACTTTTCGGTTCACTGTACAGTTAGGAGTACTTCCCGCACCATCATGCAGCATGAAAAGAAGAAATGAAGTTGAATTGGCAGTTAATCGGTTTCTCGCGCGATACTTCGGCGAAATAAATCGCAAAGGAGCGGGTAAATATTTGTCCGAAATTTCGTTCCATGCTAGTTAACTAAAGTTAAAAATAACTTTATTACTAAGATTAACGAGATCCAGTGACTATCTAACTAGTTATGTAATATGTAGTTTAGTTCACTAAATTCTGATGAATCTGGGCCAGTGACGTCATGTGTACTGCATCTCATTGACACTATAATTTGTACACAACTTGTTTTGCGTTAACCCACTAAGGATCCACGAATTACGTACCAGGATGGTATGCATATATATCCAACCTCCCAAACCCTGTGCGGTATTGGTTGCTTGATATCTCTCTTTCGCCGGATAATCCATTTCAACCGAAAGAAAGAAAGCCAAATTCATTTCGTTGAGAAAACATCAACCTCCATCTTTATTTTGACGACCAGCCTCCTTTAACATTGGAGGCCACTGCATATTCTGAAATCTAGTGAGCACTGTTGCCCCCGCCAACTCCTGGCCGCATGAAGACGGATTCCGATTGACCCACATAGATTAGGTACGATTTTTCAAAAGAATCCAGCTCATCATCGGTACCACCTTGCACTCTTCCTAAACAGAAAAGCCCCATCATGTCATTCCTCGCAATTCCGAGATCTCGTCTCGTGTCCACCCCTGTTTCCGTTGTGCGGGCTTGTATGCCACCCCTCAGCCAGGGCTTCCACAATTCATCAGCTCGAAATGCCTTGAAAGAAACTGATAGACGTAAGTTGGACTCCAATGCGGTGTATTCTCATTCTAAGTATCATATATTGATATTTCGCAATTATCCTTTCACCCAAGTAACTTTTCATAGTCCTGGCTAATACACAACAACAGATCGAGAGGGCATCATGGAGGAAATCGAGTCGAGCAAGGAAAAACACAACCAACAACGGAAGGATGGAGATCCTCGGTGGCACGAGTCGTTGGCTAGTGCCAGTGAAGCAGTTGTAGGGACCCGTTGGCACCCTTCCCCAAAATCGGAAGAAACTTGAAGAGTTCTAACTTGGGATCGCGTTTAAGGTGAAAGCGGATCGTGGCGAAATCTCCCCTGAAGAGGCGCAGGAGTTAGAGAAATACTTTCCAAAAGAAAAATCAGGGGGACAGAAACCGGCGAATACTGGGAATCGGGGGACATAAAAGCTTGAATGTCTACTCTCAATAAGTATCAATATCGGACGTTGCATTACTCCGATTATTGTTGAAAAGCTTCGGCTCTCGAAATTTATTCATGGCTTCCCCCATACCCTGCTCCGTTTTAACATTCCTGGAGCTGAAAGAGATCGTTTTCTAGACTGGAGTTCCAGCTTTACGTAGGTCTAGATAAGCGCTTGTTCTATCACAGTGTATTTATCTTGAGGGGAAGAGGAAACGGAAAACAAGTTGACCCACTAAAAATGGAAGCGTCCGCGAGTCTATTATGAAAAGGAAAAATTGGATGGGGATTAAAGCAAATCGCTTGATTTAGAGTACAAAAGTTGAGATATGATACTGTATTTTAACTTACAGGAGCTTTTAAGTTAGTTCAATTGAACAACGTAGCTGCTGTTGGGCGCTGCATTAACCTAAAAAATATAGAGTCAAAAGACAACTGCTGAAAGGATGAGAAATCTAGTATCGGGTGTATGTTAGTATAATTTCCCTCGGAAAGAAATGTATCTAGGATAAGACACAAGGGTTCTCAGGGTGTAATAACGAGGATTAAAAAAACAGGGGACTCAACAAAAACCACAAAAGCCACAAAAAGCCAAGCAACAGGCATCGGCAACAGCTTTACATATAAGAAAAGCAGTAACGATAGGGGAAATATTCTAAAAACTTAAAAGATTGCTGTAAGTGTGTAAATAAGGTAGAGTGTAAAACGACATAATAATGAGAGAGATAAATCAGGCATTTGCTCAGAAACGCCTGTGCGACCTGTAAAGCCTATGATCGTGTACATCCCTTTCGGACTCAACCAGAGAACGCCAATGTAAGATAGGAATTAGTCAAAGGATAAAATGAACGGTGAAGGGATGAACATGAACAGGTTGGTTAGCAAAGAACACCGTTACAAAGACTTTATTTCAAGATAACAATCAATATCACGAGGACTATGATTAACCCGATGATGGTCATCAAGCTACGACCCTCGCCCGCGTTCCGTCTGAATTTCCCGAGTCTCTTCTTTGCGCCATCGAGTCTGCTCGCATGGCGGTCTACGTAGCCATCGACTTCATCAAGAAGGGCTATGTGTCCCTCCAATTCGTCTCCGATCTGAATACTTAATTCATGTTGCCGGCCAATCGACTCTCCAAGGCGATCCAGTTCGTCATCTTGCTCTTGCATGATCTGAGCGTGATGTGCGTGTATTTCAGGATTAGAAAGAGAGGAGTGGTCAAAGGTTGGGGGAGATGGGGAGTCACGGTAAGGGTGAAGGAGGGCTTTCCGGTTAGGGTCTTCTTCTTCGGCTGTCGTGGCTAGGGAGTCAGTAAATCGAACGGATTTCGAGATGGGATGTTGCGGTGCGGGGTGTTTTAAGGTAGTCGACGTGCTGCTCGCACGAGAAAAATCCTCTGCTAGAGAGGAATCATTGGGGGTTTTCAGTGTCGCATCCGAAGAGGGGTTATTGTTGCCATAAAATTGTGATGTAAGGTCATCGAGCTGCTTTTTGAGGCTGATTTTCTGGTCTCGTAGATCCGCGGATGACCTGTATAAAAGGCAAGATGAAAATCGTTAGTGAGCCCAGAGGAAGCAAAATACCTATGCATATCTTTCCATGGCTAAAAAGGATATTATCTTACGGATCGTCAGTCTCCTCGAGATGAGCAATTTGCGAAGCAAGGGATTCCACTCCGTCCCGTAGCGAATCTAGAGAACGGGATATCTCGCCATCTTGAGAAAAAGGCTCGAGCTTGAGGGATACTGCTCTCTGCCGCTCAAGAAGAGATAGCTTTATGTGATCTGCGAGCAGGAAGAGTTGTGCCGGATTGCTCATCGCTGCAGTTGTGTCGCGGTGTACGGAGTAAGCTGGAATGGAATCGGCATATGACTGGCTGCTATAAAACAAAACTGGCGCTTTGAGTGTCTCTCCCAGCGAAATGCACGGTGATTCTATTCAAGGGCTATTGCAACAGGATAACCGAACGAGGAGGGCCAGGTAGAGGTGATGATGGAGATGATGGACAGAGATAATGAATATGTCTCGCCAGAAAGAGGTTTAGCCGAAGACTGAAGATCGATGGCACAGCTCTTTGGATGGTCCGTAACTCCGATACGCTAATCTACTGGTGCTTTGTTGCTTAATACCACATTACACTTCCCCCAGCCCTACCAAATCATGTGATGGTCCAATGACGCTGTCGACCCCGCCCCGGCTTTCACTTTTGATCCCCGTATTTGTATCCAGCTATATGCGCATTCCTGGAAGCAGAATGGATTGTATTTATTATCAGGGCTGCTTGACATGGAATAAATTTTCTTACTTCTTTCATAACCGATCGCTGAGGTTGCTCAGATACTCCAACTGCATGGATGCACGTGCAAGTTTATCTACCTAGTTTACTAACTATAGTTAACTGCATTAACTAGTTAACGTAATCAACCCCCACCATTCTGTTTGACAAAATTTCAAATCAAGCAACAACCACGAGGAATTCTATATAGAAATTATATAGGATAGACACGTAGAGTCTGTTGACACTGTTTTAATATATGTTCAAAAGCATTATACTTACTACAGATTGAGAGTCTTTTCTTTCTATTTCTCAGATTTAGATTCTCAACTTCTTTCTCTGTATATTGATTAGATTTGAGATCTAGCAGTTCTCGTCACTATGTCTTGAGCTATTAGAATTTCTTTCTTAGCTATATAAAACCATAATTTCTCTCTCTTTCAATTCTGCCTGGTGTTGACAGCTCTCAGCTCTGTGTTTTTCTTTGCTAATATAGCAGTACTATGCATGGTCAGCTGGCATCTCTTCTCTATTCCCTGGCTATATGAGAGATGACTTAATATCTTTCTCAGCTCTAGTGACTACTCTGACTGTTGAGGTAACTCTCATCATAAAGTCAATCTTACTTAAAGTTGTGAATATCCTCTGGCACAACCTCTCATACTTTTTTATTGTATGATTCACCAAGGTAAATCATTCATGTAGAATTTTTGAATCCTCACACTGAGCTCACTGATAGTCATATTTGTGTGAGGACTTTGTCTTTACTTCATAATGTCATTGTATAAATCTATTGACTCAACATTCTCCTACAATAGTAGAAGCACTGAATCTATGCCCCAAGTAGTAGATTGACCATATTTCATACAGTTGCAATTCAGAGAGACTGTCCTCTATCATCCATGGAGATTATTCATTGAACTAGAGACTCTTCTTCTGTAGAGGTCAGTTTTGAATTTTTTTAATTGAGCATTTTTGTGTATATGATTTGACCGTGTCGTCTGTAGCCAGAGAGGAATAACTTAGAAGCAGCTCTAATAGTTGTAATTTGCTGAGCTTTATAAGCTCTAATGACGAATAAAGCCTGGCTTCCTGATTAGAAGCCCTCATAGTGAGGGTGGTTGGCATACTGAATTTTTTAATAAGCATGAATGATTTACATGAATGTGATCCGTTAGGTGATTATGATCCGTTTGGGTGATTGACTACGACTACGCCAGTTAACTAATAGCTGTCGCAGATGAGTAAGAACTTTATCACATGACTCGCATCCCCTATCCTTGTCCCTACATCATCCATGGATTTCTTCTTCCTTTAAAGTTAGACAGCAAACGCTTGTTCGTTCGATGGGTGTTTGCCAAGCGCTATTTACCTCAATTGGATATATTCGGCCAATTCTAGTCTTCATTCCATAAACCTCATCATATCCCCGGACTACCTACCTATCTTCGCAGTCAACGCACTCCTAACGTCCCTCTCGCGCAGCTTTTGGATCGCAAAATTGGTCCATCAAAGAGCTTGGGATCGTATTCTGCGTATCTGACTGTTCAAAATCTGCTTAACCTGATTTCGTTGACGGAGGCTGGAATGGTTCCGGCGGGAAAGGAAACCATGGAGGCCGACCAACCTGAACCTGATTCTCTCGTGGACCTTCGAGCTCTCGAGTATGTCTCCAGTTACGACGGACATCTTATGTGCCCAATATGTCACTGTCCTTTTATACGACCCATTCGGTTGAAATGCGATCACATATTTTGCCAAAAATGCCTCAATTCCTGCATCAAATCGTCTCCTCTACACACGCCGTTCACACCGCCGCCCGACAACTTTGCTTGCCCCTCATGTCGAACACCCACGATGGCCACCTTCATGAAAGTGCCTCGTATAATAATTAGCATGTGCGATGATTTGTGTGTGAAATGCCCGTTTGCCGCCCAAGGATGCGAGGAGATAATTCAACGTGGGCATATACAAGCCCATGTGGATAAATACTGTGATTACCGGCTAATGTATTGTCCTGGAGAGAACTGTAATTACATGATAAGGAAGAAAGATCTAGATCCTGACCGACGGTGTTTGCATGAACTCCGTGATTGTGACAACTGCACAGAACTTGTGATGGAACAAGATTTCGAGGCAGGTTTTTTTTTTTTTTTTTTTTTTTTTTTTTGAGGAAGATGGGAGATGGGATTCACCGATGATGCAGCCGCTGACTCTTATGTTGATAGACACATACAAAGGAACTATGTTCCAGTTTGAAAGCCGAATGCCCCGATTGCCACACTATTTTATGTCGCTATGAATTGCAAAAACATTTGGAGACATGTCTTCTGGCTACGAGATCTTGTCATGCTGCTAAATTCGGATGTCCAGTTAAGCTAAAAATGACTGAGCTTACGCAACACGAGCAATCATGCGCTTTGGTCGCACTGGGACCGTATTTGGAAACTCAAGCGTCGCGTATAGAATCCATGGATTCAACAATAAGACAGCTGCGGCAACGAAACGAGATTCTTGAAGACAGCATTGCGAATATTCGCTCGACCATTGCGCAGATTTCTCCTCCGCAAACTAGTTCTAAACCAGAAGCTTTACCGATAGTCAGAAGTGATTCCCCGATTTCTTTATCATCTGAAATACCCAACATTTCCACTTCAGGCGCCCCCACGAGTAGCATCTCAGATGCCGTCACTCTCGTTTCTCAAGAATCCATATCCGGCCCACCTCCTTCGAATACAACCACTTACCTCCTTTCCATCCACGAGTCTTTGAGAGACGAAGTAACTCAACTCTCCAATGCAGTTTCTGATATTGATGCCCGCCTTAATATGTCCATTTTGAACGAGAGCCTTAGGCTTAGAGACGAAATGGCCCACATAAGTGCTGGTGTCAACAACATCCGGATGCAGGTCCATTGGCTTATGAACCCAAGGCTGCATCAGAATCAGCGAACAGTCAATGACTCAGCCACTGGAGCACCTTCTGCTAGTGATAGCTCTCGGAATATGGCCATAAGTGCTTCCGCTACCAACCCCTCAGCCCCTTCACCTCCCATTCAAAGAAACAGACGGCTCAGCGATGGGAGCCGTGAAGGAACGAAATTGTGACCCTCATGGAAACGACGCATTATTTTAACGAATGGATATTATGGCTGGCTTTTTCTCGATGATTGGGTAGGAGTCACGAGTTTGGGGTTTAGTCTCCGTAATTGATACCTTGGTGGCTTTCCCTGGAGAAGAGGTGTTTCTGAAACAAGGCTCAAAAGAATGGTTTAAGGGATGTTTATGTGATTTTCAATGGTACATTTCCCCGGCTATGCGCTAGAGGGTACGTGTTGGGATTTTACGTAAATTTAATAACCGTTTTCTTTTTTCGTTTTTTGATACCTTCTAATGACCTTTCGGGCATCATGACTGACATCATGGAAGTTAAGAGACGCTTAATTCATATGTTGAGTTGTCTTAACATTAAAAAAGGACTCTTCGGAGATCTTTTGATATTTTATAATATCTTTGAGTTCATGTGCGGCCAATGTTTTCATCCCTAGTGGCCTTCGGTGGACCTGCCGATCGGCTCAGAGAAGTTTCCGTAAGTATTGTTGTCGGCGTGAGCAATGCCAGCCGGCCCGGGTCTCGTTGACAAGGGATTGAGGAAACATTTTCGGATCTCAACTCTTGACAAGATGCGTATATCTCCATTGCAGTTAAACGCATCTCTTATCATGCTAAGTCTAGATTGTTGAAGCTAAATCAGATTTTGAATCACGGAAAAGGGTGTCTGTCATGACATCATGACCAAACATTAAAAAAGTATATATCACCCGCACGTTCTTCCTCTAGGGATCAGGATTGGGAGGACGATCACACTTCCAAAGGTTCCAGTTCAACTGTCAGATATCTGTAAAGGGTTAAATTTTGTTGGCTGCTGTCTCGTCGTCAGGTTTAACCAATTGATTAGTTGAGCTGTTTAATCGCCGAAAGGCTCCGCTAGTTTGTTAACTTACCAATTCCACAGCTTCATGGAGACTGCAAGTTTCTAGAGCTGTTCCATTTCCGACACTGGTATAACTTTCATTGGCTAACTACGCATATAATTAATTCCTATGAACTCGTACTTAAATCTTGAATGATGTCTTTGTTGTAGGGCAGAGTAGTAAGGAATTTGCAATACAGAGCGGCTAGGCAAACATCCGCTGCCTCATGTAGCTGTACCTCAGAATCGTACGTCGTCAAAGTTTTCGGTTTTTTTCTTCTTTTTTATTTCTATATCTTTGATTTCATTTCAAAACCTTAGTAATATTTCCTATCGCTATTTAGCCGAAGATTAGGGGAATTTATGAAAACGTGAAAAATTAAGTAGTCCCAATGGTGGAGAATAAGCAGAAAAAAAAAAGGGGGGGGGGGGGGGTAGTTTGCGTACGTCTCATAGGAAAGTTTGTGAAGCATTCTGATGACGGGCTAACATATAAGAGAGAAAAAGCACAATCCACTCGGATAGACGATTCCTACGACATATATTCATACGCTGGACTGGGCCGCACTTAGGAAATCTCCGGATTCTTGTTCTGGAACATGTCTTCGTAGGTCATCAATTGTATATATTAAGATATCCAACTCTCCTAAGATCTGAAAACCATCCTGGAACCCCACTCTTCTGATAACCAGCCCCTTTGCTAACTCGTTGACAGAACGAAGGAACGTATCCTGACATGGAGCTGACACCAAATAAGACTCCACCACATTGAACAAGATGTCGATGACCCTTCTGACCCTATCTAATTCGCCTGGCTGCAGATCACACTCTGTGTGGCCGTGCCTATTCCGCTGGACCTTAGATCGGGATTGCGAGCATTGACATCTTGTAGGAAATCGTTCTCCGAGCAGTCTGATCCCCTGCTTCGGTTAGCTCATGAATCAAAGATTCAAGGACATTGGGAACTTACTGGTAAAGTTTGCAAAGGTAGCTCCCATCAAACGAAATGCTTCCAACATTGTCGGAACTGGTAGCGCCATCGGATTAGCATTGCTGTACCTGACAAGCAGGCGCATGGCACAAACATACAATCCATCAGGCAAAGCGAAACAAGTGTTATCGGCTTCAATCAGCAACGAGTTGCCGACATAATTCGTTTCAGTGAAGATGGAGATCTGGTCTGTTTTGTTAGATGTAGATTGATAAGCGTTACGATACTGAAATGGTACTTGCCGGAGGATCCTGCGCCATAGCGAATGCGATGAAGGTAGCCACAAAGGACAATATGGCCAAACGTTTTGAGAGAAGCATCTGTGCGTGTTTTTCCTTCCAATTTGGCTAAGAACTTAGGATAACAAAAATTTTCCTTTCAGTTGACAAAGCAGAGGATATTGTCGGGGCCTTTAGTCCTCAGCTTTGAATATATCAGCCGAAGACAGACAACTGATTTCTCAAGATGTGGAGAAACAGCAGCCCAAGGAGGAAATGGGCCATGTTTAAATAGGTTTTAAAGTTGTTTAAAGCAAGTCATTTTTAGATGTTGCCCTGGATGGAAAGACAACAGAAGTGAACAGAGCAAGCCTGAAATATCAGACATTTGATTTCCAACTGCCAAATAACTTTGCGGCAGCTAATGGATCAGCGGTGGTATGCTATCACCGGCCAATATCTGAACAACGGTTTCAGCGGGGAAGAATTCAAGATGGAGGTTCTTAATTTCGAGCTTTCATTTCTGATGTCGTTTCTTTCATTTTTCAGATTCGGATCTTTTTCCACAGGAACGTGCACCTCCCGCCCTGTCAGCAGAGTCGTGGAAACCAATGACATGGTTGTGTTCGTGCAGACGCCGATAAATGGGTTTGCAAAGGTCGGGATCGACATGCTTGCGGGCTACGTATGCGGTGTTAGACTAGCCTCAACGAGGAGGGGTCAAAAGCTTAGTTGCTGTTGTTCGACTATCTAGTCGAATTTGAAGAGTTTTGATGCCGGACCTCTATCAGCGTTGGGCTGCCAGTGGAGGTCAACAAATCGTCAAAACGAAGCTGGGCAAATATGCCGGGATAACGTAAATCTGTATAATACATTCCCCTTTAGACAATGCTAACCGCGCTTCGAAGGGGCGCGAGTAGTTAAATATACGCCAATTGAGAGACAGATTTTCGTTGGCAGTTGACGACGATTGGCCAATCCCGAAATACGTCTAAAAAAGATCGGCACCATGGACGGCTGTAACTAACTAATTCTTATGGGTTGCCAAACCAGATGTGCCGGAGCCCAAAGAAACTGCGATATCAGAGCGAGATATCGTCTCTCGTGGCTCGAATAAGAAGGATCTTTGTATTTGGGTTTGGATGTCCCCTTCTTTTCTTTTGCTAGCAGCAGCAGCAGCATCATAATTTGCGCGTACGTGTTCTGGATATAACCACCAATAAGCACCCGGGAACCCTTGTGAAAAGTGATGAGAACTGCACCAGCTCGCTGCTATGATATTCCCTCCACAGAACAGCTGCATCTCGCCGCAGATATCTTCACATTTGGCAAAGTAACACGGAGGAAAGTGACCTTTTTCTCTGCCGAAGTTTCTTCATTCGAGAGAGACTTCTGAACATGCTTATTTCGTCCAAAGGACTCTCGAGGGGAGTGCGATGATCGTATGTATCTGAAGGAAATCTTAGAAACTCTGGACGGAAAGTACTTCTCTTCGAATGGGCAAAGGGCTATAGTGTGAGAAAGTTGAAATCAAAACGGAGAGTTTCCTAGAGCTAACCAGAATGCCTCTATACCAGTTTGCCAATCAATTCCGATATGATATAACCAACGTCCGGAAGGTCCTTGGATCTATCTCTCTTCAACCGCGGCGAGGCAACCTGAGTGTCCAGCTGCTGCCATAAATATATATATATATAAATTTGAATGGTTTTCTGAGGAGATTTTCCCGGCTTCGATCAAGCCTCTTGCTCCGTACAGAACAAAGCGCTGCCGCCAAAACCAATCAGTTGGCTTCCACAAAAACGACTGAGTGGACAGCACTTGGCCATGATCGTAGACACCGGCCTGGTTTCGTCGATTGGATAAATTAGCAAGTGTTGAGAAGTGGGAGGAAGGGACAGTTGTCGGCTTCATTCATATCACGGCGTTCCCTAGACGAAATAACGTGAGCACTCCAGGAGAAACAAGGCAACGTCAACATTTCAGATTTGAAAGATGAAAAGGTGACAGATGTTTGACCGACTCATTTGACTGCATGATGTGAAGATGGTGGCTCCTAGAAGAGAAAATCTTGTGTCATCCACGTATTGGAGGGCAAAGAACTTGTAACTATATAACCCAGATGAGCCCCTTGATATGCCATCTAGAACTTTATAGCTTAGGCTACAGCAAAATTATCAGTCTTGAATGAGAACTGCTTGTATGCTTATTGAACCATGCAAGCATCATCATCATCATCATGAAAGGCTTGAAAATGAGAAGAGAACTTGCGTGTACAGACAATAACAAGAGAGGCAGCCTGGAAAGTAATGGACGTCATGTCCTGTAGTGCTCACTTTGCACCACATGGCAGCATTTTACTACAAACAGAAAGCAATAGAGAGTTGATCTAACCAGCCATAAAATGCAGAGGAGAAAAGAAAGGAAATGCTGAAAATCAAATAATTTTATGCTCTCACTAATCTATCATTCAGCTTAAAATTGTCCTGCACCGCCAAATCTGCCCGGTGGGGATTGATAATAGTCGTAAGTATGTGCGCCTTGCGTAGGAGGCTGGTATTCGCTAGAGTTTATATGTTGATTATAGATTTCATATCCAGCTGGTGGGGGCATTGTATATCCAGGATCATCGTATGGTGTTTGTTGTTGTTGCTGATAGGCGCTCGGCTGCTCTTGGTATGGCGGATACGGTTGAGATGGGTCAAGATAACCAGATCCGGATTCCCCTGGAGTGGCACCCCTGCTCTGAGTATTGCCGTTCCCTGCCTCGTCTGGTACTTCACGCTTCGACCCACCACCGCCAGACAGGAAACCGGTTAATTTATTGAGTTTGTTGAGTTTAGAAACTCCTGGGATTGGCAAATGAGAGAGCTGATCCCAGGGGATCGAAGATGAGGACGATGTGTGGGATTGCTGCTGCTGCTGATGGTGATGCTGAGAGCCACCACCAGAGCCACCGCCAGAGCCTCCCAAGAAAGACATTCCAGGGATTTGGTTAAGATTCGGGAGATTGGGAATGTTAGGAAAACCACTGTGGGAATTACCGCCACCATGACCGAGTGAATGAGACTGGAACTGATTATGGCCGTGGTTGCTGTGGCCGTGCCCAGGCTGGCTATGGTTGTGGCCTTGGGAATTAGAGTGTCCATATGTCTGATTATGGCTAGGAGCAGCATGTGAGTGACCGGTGCCGTGAGTATGGGGGTTGCCTCCAGTGTGATTCTTTCCAGCCTTAACACTCTCAGCGCTTAGAACATTGTTCAAGTTAACTCCCTTGCTCGACTGCGAGTGTGCCCAACGTTCAACTTCTGCAAACATATTACGGTGCGCTTCGTTGTCGAACCGTCGAAATGCCGGATGATGGAAAATAGAGACGCAGTCATTCAATACCCGATCAACCGGGACATCGACATGTTGGAATGCATACAAAACACGAGGAACGACGAATTTCACAACCGCAGAAGCAACTCGCCCAGCAGGATCGTTGAGGATATTGCTGAAATGGTCCTTGGAGAGAAAAGAGTGGGTTGGGTCAGTGCAGTTCGGATTTGTCCAGGGCTCGTATTGAGTGCGGGCTTCAGCCGCTGTCAGTTCAGACGAACCAAGCTGTAGTTTTGCCGATGCAATCTTTATCACTGGCCTGATAAATGGAGCCAAGAGGGAGAAAATGAATATCGAGAGGGTTTCGCTGATTTTATCCATCAAAGAGGAAAGCCCAGGGATTTTCTCGACAGCGGAGGATAGATTTTTGACCACCCTGTCTCTAAATTCTAAAATCGGATATACTTGGAAAATTGTTTCCTGTGGATTAATCTCTTGGGAAGCTTGTGATTGGCCATATTCAGTAGGTTGATTATAGCGTTCAATCCCTTGGTGATCAAATTGGCCCCTTGTGGCTCCATACCCATCCAAGCCGCGCTGTTGATTTGACTGTTCCTGAGCCTCTGACTTACGTTTCAACCTTTCGGCTTCTTCAATCATCCCGTTCATTCCGGGGACTTTAGAGAGCAAACTGGTGAGAGAACTCAAAGCTCCAGAGGAGCCCGATCCGGACTGAGCAGTACCAAGGGTATTGTCCATTTCATTGACTTCACTCTGAGCAAATTGATCTGAAGCTTCCCCAAGCAAACTGTGAAAAAAATCGGTCATGCCAAATGTGCCAGTGACAACGGGGAAGACATATTTTCCTTGGATGTTCATCTGGGTTCCCACTCCCGTGTGAGGAAAGACATTGGTATAGTTCATTTCTCGTAACGCCAATTCACAATAATTACTATGTGCAGAAAAATCTTCCAGAGTATGACACGCTACAAACAGAAGTTAGTTTTGTAAAAATGTGATTTAAGAGGTTGATAATTTGGTCATAATCAAATGAGTCTCGCTGCATGCAAGAGGAGGGTAAAAATATACCTTGGCCGAGACACCTTAGGGCCTCACTCAAATGTTCCTCACGGCCCTTTTCATGACGTCCACCCGCAAGGTAGAGTCGTCCAAAGTGTATACTTCGTGCAACACTGTATTTCACGTACCCAGCACTGGTCGCCCAATCGCCGCGTTCATTGGCTATGTAATTTTTCATACCAGATTGGGGGTCGATTTCAAGTTCAATGGGTCGAATTGGGCCCCGAAGCCGTGGATCACTATGTCGAGTGTTAATGGGCGCATGTAAACCAGATGGAGAGTTTTTTTCTTTTTCTTTTCTTTTTTTTTTTTTTTTTTTCAATTATGGACAGCGAGAGAGCGTACTACTGCCTAGCATCTTTACCATCGGCATAACCCTTTGGATTGCTATATGAAATATAATAGTCAGAAAAAACAATATTTTTTTTTCGTTTTTTCGTGCGCAATAAACGAAAATACCCGAAGCTTAGCCATCGGGTATGGTTCGAAATGGCCCTTATGACGCCAGGGAAAGACGAACTCAATATGTTCCTCCGGTCTGTATACACAGAGCCTTTCAGCTGTGACCTCAAATTCCCCAGTCGCATAGCCGAAAGCGCCGAAACTGAGAATCCAGACCAAGATCCGTATAGTGTCGGCTTGTATTTTCGACACTGTTCCAACATCAACAGCTTGCGAGTAATCTCTTAACCTGTTGACCAAAAACAAAGTTAGTCACCAAGTAGGTCCCAACCAGAATTGAAAGTTGTGTGCATTGGGTGCAAAGTACCAATTTCCGAAATAGAGACGCTTAATCATTATTCCTGTCCATTTGTGTCCCTTGAGGAACGCGAGCGTTTTGATGGTATCCTCAATGTCTCCATGGCGCCAATTCTTGCCTTCGATCGTAGAGATGGATGCGATATCTTAAGAGAGCAGTCCAAAATTGTAAGTATCAAGCATAATAAAAAAGGATATTGGGTTCGGTAACGGGTGTCAACGTCGCGAAACGAGGCGGGTTGTTGAAACATACTTCCAGCCCCAAAGGCGCACACTTGCGATGGAAGCAAGACAAGCAAAACGGCAAGAATTAATATGGATGACCTTGCGCCTAAGCCCATGTTGAAGGTTGAATTGTCTCCCGTCGAATGTTGTTCACGTCGGTGTTGGATCAGGCTAATATCCTTGATCCTCTGCGGCACGGAAGGATGAATGAGACAAAATGTTTTTTTAACTGGTTAGTTATAACTAACTATAACTAGTTATTTGTTTTTAATAATAGGCGTTTCCGACCCCACTGTCGCTGAAATTTTGGGTGGAACCACGGAAAACTTTTGACCATCGCCAGCTGAAACCCCCGGTAGCGATGGATGGATACACGGTTCTTGTAATTAGCAGGCGATAAAACCAAGGGCTCTTTATCGCTGGCTAGAGTTTATTAGCGGGTAAGTAGTCCTCAGCTTCGGTTGTCTTGAAACTGGGCGATCCTCGAACCATGAGGCCGATTGATATATTCGGTGATGAAGAGAGCCCGCTTATCATTTTAGTATGTAACTATGAAGCTACCTGGAGTAATTAGCGCAGGGATATCTATCTCTATACCAAGTCTCATCCACATGATAAATAGTGATCTGGCTGAGGACATTGACCAGGACAAGGCTTTGTTCGTTTTTTCTTCGGCATTTAGAGAACGAATTCAATCAAGATTCTGATACGGATACTAAAGATGAATCAGTTGAAACATTTTAATCGGGGAGAGCAAGCTTGCGTCAGATGAAGTAATTGACCTTGTTTGGCACGTTTGAGGAGCATGCATCGTCGGGATCCATGGATGATGGCAAAGAATCTGAGCTGGTGTTCATGCTTTAAAGGCTTGGATCATCATCTTAATTTTCTACTATCATCAGTGAGAATCTGAAGGGGAGATAACCATACAAAAGAGAAAGCAAGAGGAGCTTAAGGCGCCCCATGCACATGATAAATTTACAAAGGGTGGTTTTCCAACTGGCAATACCCAGTTACGAGAAAGAATTTGGTCGAATCTCTTCGCTCAAGTAGTTAAACATCCTCAATGCCTTTCGAACCATCCATGCCCTGATTGAACTTTTGACATCCTCTTCGACTAAATCAGAGTTAGACGACCAAAAATTAGTCAAACAAGGGGGCATAACTACTTTTTTTTTTTTTTTTTTTTTTTTTTTTCTATTTTTATTTTATTTCAATTTTTTTTTTTTTTTTTTTTGGGGGGGGGGGGGGGAAGAAGGGATATTCTCCAAAGCGTGCAAAATTGGAGCCTGATTGAAAGATCGATACGGCATTGCGGACACCAGTCAAGCTGGCTTACGTACTTGAATCCAGTATCCATGGATCGGATACGATATCAATACCATGCACTCTGCGGAATAGCTTTCAGGCGGCCATTGCACTCGGGGTGTTATCGAAAGGCTTGATTGAGCAGGGTTCCGTTGAGGATACTCTGATATTGAGGTGCCGAGGCAGGATAGTTAACTATCCGCAGGGTGAGTTTGGGTAGCTATATGTACCATGGTGGGCCGGGTTTACCGTAATTTGCAGATGGATGGGGCCATGACGGTAAAATTCCCAAACTATGAGACTAGAATGATAATCACTTTGTTGAACAGAAGGATATATAACTAACTAATCAACATAACAAAATAGTTAACAACATCGATCCTTGGAATGGTCAGGGGGAGCGAAGTTGAGACTTGCTGACTCATCAAGCTCCGTATCCATGGATCGTATTCCTCCGCTGCCCTATCGTAAACTGCGCCGAGAACCTTCGTCCTGACCAACCACAAAGACAGAGAGCGTCACTCTGCAACTAATCCGCCGAGCCATGAGTGGCTTCTTGTTCTTCTGAACGGAGTTCACTCCGGGCAAATGTGTCGGTTCGAATTATTGGGTCGCACACTCTTACGTCGCCGGGCTGGTAGGCATGAGGGGGATCGCTCCGCTAGGTTGCGTTAAACCTGCTCTAAAAGAAAAAGCAAGCAATCTCAAATTAGTTTAACTGATTGATCTTCCAAGCTCTAGTAATTCACAACCCCAAGCATGCTCCATGAAATACTCCTCGCCTTGTCGGGCCATCAGTCTCCCCTTTTTGACCAGAAAAAGGGTGGCCCTGCCCAAGACGGTGTCCCGTTCCTCTCTCCCGCAGAGCTCGCCCTTCTTCAGCCAATAGCAGAGCTATGTCGTCTTCATACATTGCTACGCAAACATACGTCACAAATATCTTCGTCACATACTTCGACAATCTGCCGGGCGGTGTCAACCAATATCTCTACGATGCAATTGGGCAAATTTCAGAAGCAAATATTGGAGGTAGAAACGGCAATACTGGCAAATGATGCTCGATATGTTGGCGGCCATGGGATTGTACCGCTGTCTACCATTCGCTCGGAATTTTTGCCTTGGGTAGGGAGGCTACGGTGGCTACGGAAAATCACACAGTTCATGTCCCCAGATGCGGATGAGGACGCCCCTGGAAGAAAACCACCGGAAACGGTATGCACGGGAGCCAGCTTGATTGATCATCTCCGAAAAGAATCTCACACTGGATATTTGGACTTAGAAGACATGGCACTTCAACTGATAAATGCTGCAGAGACAGCATTCATGCGTCAACTCTCCATGTTCATTTTGTATGGCCAACTACCCGCGTTTGGTCGGGGAGACTTCTTCATCCAGGAGTGTCCATCAGCCGCGTATGAGAAACCAACCAATACCGCCGACTTCGACATTCGAACGAACCTAATGCCAAAATTTGTGTCTCCCTCAACTGCTAACTCAATCTTATTCATTGGCAAGTCCTTAAACCATATAAGGGCACAGGGGAAATTCTCCGCAGGAGATGAGTCCATTTCCTCACTATCCAAGTTAACGCTTCATGGTGATTATCTTGATCATCTCTCGGCCGTTTCTTCACCGATATCTCCTGCTGCGCTCACAGGCGCAATATCGAAGATACGAATCACCTTGTCGCAGACTGCCCTGTCCGAGCTTCTTCCACTACCTAAGATTGTAGATATTATATCGTTGTTGCACGATTTCCTCTTATTAGGACGTGGCGAGTTTGCCATGGGACTAGTTACATTCGCTGATGAGCTTGTCAGAGGGAGACATCGGAAAACTGAACTATTGAGGTCCGGGAAAGACAGTGGCTATTTGTTAGAGAGTCTTGCGGTTAAGGAGGGAGAAGTGATGGCAGTCTTGTCTCAAACATGGGCGGAGCTGTATCTGCAACAGAATGAAGAGGATCCTGTGGATGATGAACTTGATCTAGCCAAAGAAATTTTACGTCTTTCCGTTAAGGACTTGAATGATAACCAATGGCCAGAAACTACAAAAGAAGTTACAGCTACCAGCTCATCAATATCCGTATCTGAGGTTTCTTTCAATAATGCACTGTTTGGTACTCCAACAACCTTATCCCTTGATGTTCAACCCCCTCTGGATTTATTTCTCTCTCAAGGTGACATGGGACTATACTCGAAAGTCCACGCCTACCTGCTCGCTATCCGTCGAGGCCAAATTCACCTAAGTAATCTATGGAAGCTGTCATTTCTCCGAAGAACCCATCCGGCGCCTCCGCTAGCTAACAAACGTGGAGGGCAAGCAAGATGCAAATCAAATCGGGAGCGAGCCCATACCAGAGCTGCTGCTATCAGGCCAATCTGGATCACTGCAAGTAGGGCCCTATTCATCCTGTCAGAACTTACCGGATACATGCAGGGCGAGGTTATATCTAACTCATGGCAACACTTGAAACAATGGCTGGATGATGTTCTACCAACCCCATCGCGTAGCTCGCGACCTGGAACAGCGGTCTCATCAGCCTCCCGGTCAGATAATATCGCTACAACATTTCGTCCCAGCAGTCAGGGGGAACGGCCAACACAGTCAGAAACCAATCAATCTCGACATGACCCGGAAGCAATCACAGCTGCCCACCGCGCCCACTTGACCTCTATCATTCAGTCCATATTTATAACAGACATACCGTTTACTCAAACACTCCGCAGCCTTTTAACAGCCATCGACCATCTCATTGCTATGATTACCCGTCTCGAACCTGTACAGCAGAGCCTTGACCTTGAAACTGATGAAGGGGTTGTGGATTCCCTAGCCGACTACGCTGGGGAAGAAAAGCGAATTATGCATGACCTTCGGGCAGCCAGGGTCGAGGTCGACAGTGGACTCACAGAGCTCATTTCTCGTCTGCGCGATATCGACGACAATCGATTTGGGGATGATGGTAAACGGCCATTCGATCTGGGAAACAACGGTGGTGATAATATAAGTGGAGGTGAAGGGATGTTTGGTGAGGGCACAAATGCATACGTACCATTCAAGCCAGCTGGTGTGGATCAGCTGTTGATGAAGTTGGACTTTTTCAGCTCGCAACAGAAGGCTGATGATGTAGGCAGGTTTGAATTCGGGCAACACTGACTCGAACTTTGTCGTGACCAAAGTGCGTATCGGATATTGTTAGTTGTTCATCTATTTTACGATATTTTTCTTTTTACGCAGAGACGGACAGGGCGTTTAGGTGACTTTTGAAGATGCATGACTGTAACCGTTTGATTTTTCTTTTCTTCTCTTTTCTTTTATGCCGTTATGAGGGTTAAGTTCAATTATGGTGTCGGTTTTCCCTTAAGCAGTGGAAGGTTTCTGGCGTTCCTAAAAACTACGTAGCATCAGAGTGATTGCCGTTGGGATATATGAATACTTTTCCATGTCGAATCGTCGAATCAGGGAAATCGCTGACGAAGTAGCAACCCCCTAACAGAATCCCGGGCGACCTAGAGCGCTAAATAAAAGTAGGGATAATATATAAATATTGTGAGTTCAGGCCATTGTATACTTATCTTTTGAATTTCGCACTGCTCCGCGTATCTTTAAAAAATTTGTACAACCACAAATCTCGACACCACCTAGCAAAGAGCTAATAAGAATCCAGCAAAAGTAAACTTGGAGGACGGATGCACAATTTCAAACGATATATATAAATGTGCCATCACGAGAATTTCTCTCCCCTCCAGCTATCGACGACCGACCCGAGTTGGAGCCTCGCCCCATTAAGCCCAAAGATTCCCCTTCAGCCATCTCGATCTCTTCCCCCTCTAATATATCCTTACCCCCTAAAACTCGCTTATTCTCTCTTTGCAACAGCAACTTCAGCGCGAGCGCAAATCCCGCAACGAAGAGCATAAAGAGTGCACAAACAGCCATGCCCCTTACATACCATGGCCCATCCGTGTCCGGATACAATCTCGTGCCAACAAGTGGCCCACACTGTCCAATGATATTCAAGATTGCCATTCCGGTTCCTTTACCCTCTTTCGCGGGCTGATTGTCCATCGTCCATGTGATGATTACTGTGATGGCGGAGAAGAATCCCGCAGCAGCAGGGTAGATGGCTATGTAGCGAATGAGAATTTGAACGGTGGACGAGAGGTGGGTGTGGAAATGTCCCGTTAGAGCAATGGCTAGGTACGCGCATGAGCTGATGAGGGCGTGAGTTATGATATAGGGACTGCGGGTGCGTCGTCGGTCTGATAGAGAGGCGGTGAGGAGGACTATTACGAATGATAGAATGTAGGGCGGGGCGGAGAGTGCTTGAGACGTTAGGGTTGAGTAGCCCATACTGGTTGATTGGAGAGTTTTAGTTGGGTTAAAGCTTTTGGATATAGTTTGGCAAAGGGACAACGAACTCTTTGAGTATGGTGGGGAGGAAGACTGGCATCGAACTGAAAGCAACATTGCAGCTAAAGAACATAAGCTATGCGATTATTAGGTAACCGTCAGTTAAAGGCAATCGTATCGAATGACTCAATCTTGAACTGACCGCCGTGAGATACGATTTGGGGTCGCGAAGCGTTCGCCAAATCTCGCTCCAGTCAAATCGTCGCTTGCGTCTTTTATCCCTGTGGCCTATGCCGCTTCTTACTTTCAACCGTAGCTTTGCAATTTTTCTCTCTCGAGGCGTAAGATATCGGGCTCTGCCAGGGCTGTCGGGGACGTAGATCCACGCGAAAATCGCTACGATAATGCTGGGAAAACCTTCGAATAGGAACAATGAGCGCCATGGGGCGATAGGTCCATCTTTGCTGAGCTTCACAATAACCCATGCAAGGGTGCTAGCGAAGGACGTTGCAAGCGGGGCTGCAGATATGAACATCCCTGTACGATATGCGAGTTCCTCGCGCTTGTAGAAAAAAGAGAGGTAGAACGGAAGGCCTGGGCCAAAGGCGGCCTCAGCGGTACCAAGGAGGGCCCTCAGAAGCACAAGTGCCCAGAATGAGGACACGAGAGATTGGCATGCGGCAATGAGGCCCCACGAGAAGCAACAGAGAGAAACGTAGATATGTGCAGGGACGACTTTATACATGAGCATCATCCATTCAAAAGAAATGTATGTGATATAAAATGCCATAAGAACGTATTCGAATTGTGAGGACGTAAGTCTCAGGTCATTTTCCAAGCCTGCGATCCGGGCGTTCCCAACATCTAGAATGCAAATAAAAGTCTTAGGACTTGCAATGCGTGACACAAAGGTGGGAACTCACTAGACCTATCCAGAAACGATAACATATATAACAGCGCCATGAACATGGTTAATTTCCTGTCCAACTTCCTTATCACGCGCCTCTCTTCTTCGATAGTAAAGCTCTTGGAAGGGAGTTCATCCGTGTGATCGTAAACATCCGTTTCTTTATAACAAATATCGTTTCCGTCCTCATCACTCGCTTCAAAACTAAAGTCATGATGTCCCCTTTCCCGGAGCTCCCCTATAGCATCGCTTTGTCCTTCCTCCTCAAAATTAGTTTGTAGTCTCCCGAGTTCGAGAGGCTGCGCTCGATTGGATGGTGCTGCGTCCCGGTCTCTTGATACGGAACTTCCATCTTCGGGAGTCAACTGGGGGTTCAAGGAACTTGAGGAGTTGGTCGACGGCATGTCTTCCGTTACAGAGAATAATGATGGAGTTGCGGAATGGAGTGGAACAGGGAGCTAAGGCTCAGAGCTCAGCATATTACCAGTATATTTTGTGGAGCTGGGGCTCCGTTGATATCGGACACATGGGCGAAAGCAATATCTCTAATGCGCTGAACGGTAGTTACGACACGGGACGGATAGGTGCACGGCATTCAGCATATAAGCAATACAATGTTGACACCACGCAATTGCAGTAAATCCACAGATATCACATGCTTTCAGTCGGAGAGATGTTGTTGATATTCTGGCTTGTGTCGTCGGAGCTTTCTCCACACTGGGCCAACTGATAACTAGCTTCTCACTTGAAATTCTCCGGAAGCTGTGATGACTAATGCAAGGATGCAGCCCTGGCTTTCTGACGCCCCAACGTCAAACACAGAGGAGACAAAACAAGAAAAGCAGATGCAATAACTACGATATTCGAAAAATGGTATGGACAGAGTATCTTAGTCTTTTGCTATTCCTAAACACCCTTCCCGTTCTTTTCCAGAAGTACATACATTGATTATCACCACCTCCTATGGCTAGCCCCGTAAATTCGGGGCGGGGATAGGTGTGGGGGGAGAGATTTTCGACAACGTTGTTTGCCATCATGAACATAACCATAGGATCATTGCCATATGTTACCATGGAAGAATACACCAATCTTAGCCCATCGTCTCCTTTAATATGGACGGTAGCGATCTCCTCTACGATGGGTGGCTTGGTGATGACGCGAGCTAGACGAATGTTTCACACCACGGGAGGATGAGGAAGGTCGGAAGTCGCTATAGTCATGGTCATGAACCTCGAAGCGTCTTTTCCTACCCCCACTGAGAGCAATGGCTTTCTCCTTTGCCATCTGGAATGCCACCTCCAGTTCCGGAGCCATATGGTGCTTCATTTGGCGGGAATGCATGTAGGTGAGGGCATTTTCAGCCGTGTCGCGGAGGAATTTCGCTGCGCGGGACTTGGCGACAACATCACTATCCGGGATTGCCTTATATTCCTGCTGCGCGTTGGAAAAGGTGGCCAGGATACGGGAGAGGCTGTCTTTTATGGTTTTGAGTTCCTTTGCGTTGTTGGTAGTTTCATATTTTACGCTACCAGTTTTGTCATTTGGAGATTTCCCCTCAGAGGCAGTTAGAATGGGGACGGCGATCGTCCCTGGCTCAGCGCGGGTAGCTAATTGTAAGGAATAATTAGCTATTATGTTGTTCATTTTATAGCCTGTTGGTTTTCTTCTTCCACTTCGTTCCATGTTCATTTTCAACAATGAGAAGTCAGAAGGACACAACATACCATGCACCAATAGGCTCTTCACAGCCACATTCTTGACAACCAAAGCCTCCAAATCCACAGTTTCAACACTCTTCATTCCCATAACCTCATCGAGGAACAACTCGAACGCACCCAGGTTATACGTCTCCGTCCCGTTGTTGGTTAGCTCGAGCAGAGCCTTATCATAAACGGTGATCTGCCCATCGGCCAACGCCTGTGAACGAGTCTTGGCCAGGGAAAGATGATGTTCAAAGACGTCATATAGCAAACAGAAGAAATCGGACTTTTTGAGAAACTCTTTCAGGACGGGCTTCACAGAGTCGATACCCTTATAATTCTTAACAAGTGCTTTAAATTCCTCTTTGTGCCCTGAATGCTTTTCACTGGGGGCTTCCGGGACGGAATGAGTTGCTGGGGCAAGCGTCATGGCGAGTGTAGGGTAATCTGTCTATATCTAATTGATGTCTTGGGTGCGATGATATTGCAACCCTCTCACTGCAAGATCGGATCTTTCGGAAAAAGATGGAAACTTCCAAATGTGTATGTTTGGTAAAGCAGACATGGGGAGGGTAGGTTGGTGTGAGAAAGTAGAGACGCGTCAAGGTCAAAAATACTGGACTCTAGTTGATATGTGCATTGTAGTTATGCGGTTACCAGTCATGAGGTGTTGAAGGCTCACAAGTTGCGGGCAGAATGATTGTTGAGTTATAGACATCGAACTAGCAAGAACATGAGATACCCTTATTAGTGAGAATTAGAGCATAACAACAGGAGGAAAGGGATAAAACCACACCATATATTTCTCTTAATAAAAGGAGCAGGAAAAGATAGGTGCTTATTTTATGTGCAGTATATTAGCTGACCCAGGAAATCAAACCACATTAAACATTAATCCATAGAGAGCAGCTTTAGACGCAAATAATACAGGAAGTCACTAGCACGGCACACTGAATGGTAAAAAATTGCGAGACTTTTGATGGTATTAAAAATTCTATGAGGGAAATGAATCAAAACGCATCCGGAAAAGTATGAGTCAAAATTGAGAGAAAAACGAATTGTATAAACCGAAGAGAAGGGTCATTCGTGAATTCATTAAAGAAAGTCCGTAAGGAAGGAATCCAGGGATAAAATAGCCAGTATCCGGTACGAGAGTAGTAGCGCAGGATGGTGGATGGGAACAGGGAGTGATTGAATAAAAGATGGGTGAAAATGTTGAACGGAGTATTTGGAGGCTATGAGTGCAGCGAATGCATAGAGGTAGATGTTCATGAGCACTGTGTATTTTCCTCTTCGGCTTTTACGTGACTTAGAGAGCGCATGGGTCTAGATTCCATTTTCTCCGTGTACAGTACCTTAAACGCGTCAGCAAGCCCATGGGCTTTATACCCATCCCGGACGCAAATCTTCCACTCTCCATCATGGACACACTACTTGGCACGAACAACATCAACCGTGCAGCGTTTCGTAACACCCAAACGTTCATTGCGCTTAAATCACTGATCATGAGCGCAAATCCACTAAGCTTGTTTGGATCGACAACGCTGGAACATTAGTTGCTTTCATCCATTTTGCGATTGACACAGGCGTCAAGAGTTTCGAAATCGACATTGTATTGGGATGCACAATCCTGCTGAGGTTCCGTTACGGGATCTGATTGCGCGAACGTAGTATACAGTAGGCGAAGCCCAGGAGCTGAGGTCAGAAGGTTTCCGGGAGCGGGGGGAATGCTGGATATTAGCGGCGCAAAGAAATATTGTGTTCCCCTCACATTCTTCGAGACCGTGCCTGCAAGATACCTCCGACGAATTGATTGACGATAACCTGGACGCGTTCACGTTAGCTTCTTCGGTCGAATAAAAATGAAAAATAAAAACCAAGGTAAAGAAAAGCCGTCGTAGTTTCTGGAAGTGCACTACCTACTTTCCGATAGTTAAACGAGGATTTGTTGATCATGTGAAGCACCTGAAGCGTGGTTAGTAGGAAGAAGATGCTCGACACAATGCTCAGAATCAAGACGTTTGCTCATAACGGGTGCTTCTACGTTCACCCGGTTCAAATCGGCTGGGTTCATTGGGAAAAGATCATATTTGCACGTTTGGGGGCGGGATTTGTTGTCGCATCTCCCACATTGCAGTGTGGACGTAATGAACGTAAATTGTGCTGCTAGATAATAGTTACGAAGATAGCACAAGGCCAAAACATATCGCAATGGAGCGCTGGAGAACGTGCAACGTTCCCCATGCTTTTCCATGGTTCTATATCTTTCCTTCCTCTGATGCTAAGCAGTCAAAAGAAACAGAAGTGTGCAATGTTCCTGGAGGGCCTGGGGGAAACTGAGTGGCTATCCAGGTCGTCGCATGATCCTGGTTATCTGCCCAGGTGCCCTCGAAACCTTGGGACTTCGAATGTTTCTCCCTCATGTCTTCTTAGCCCTGAACGCGTTGGATTCGGGTTTAATATATATAGGAAGTGCAATTATTTTATACCTTCTTGACCTTCTCGGTGTAGTATAACCATTCTAGATGAGAACTGGTTTAAATGACACTATTTCATGTCGTTGAACTTAGATCTATCTAAATTATTATAGAATCAATTTAGTCAAACAATCATTTTAAAGTAGACTAGTGTAGTTTTTAAATAGGTTAATTTTTGATCATTTAATATTAAATTTTTTTCTTTTTTTTTTTTAATAATAATTTTAAATAGATAGTGTATAGAGTTATAATTTTAAATCTTAAAATATAAAAATTGATTTTTTTATAACATAGATAATACTATTGCAATATATGATAATAATATAATATAAATTATATTAAAAACTTATTAAAATGAATTCAATTAATCATTAAATAAAAAAATAATCATATATATATATATATATATAAATTAAAATATATTATAATAAATAATAAACCTTCAAAATAATAATAATAAATTAGATAGTTAATAACTTTTATAAAATTATTAGTTGTTAAATTTTAATACATTTACTCAAAATATATAATTTTCAAATTTCTTTACTTTATATAGTAGATAATTATTTTTGACTAATTTTCTATTAATTAATTATTTTAAATTATTTTAATAAACTGTTTTTTTAAAAATATTTTTACATATATTAAATTTTTTTTTACTACTCTATAGTGGCTGAATTCAAATTCCATGGAGAGAAGTACCTTAAATCTCAAGAGGTAACATTTAAAAGTTGAAAATATCATCTGATCCACATCAGATGATATTTGATTGGTAGTTAATTTTGATATCATCAGTTTAACTAACTGTCTGTAAGTCTATCTTATATATAAATTACTATCATTTTTAAATGAGATATTATATATTATAAGTTCTAAGATAATTAATTATATTATAGTAGTTTTTATAAAATTTTAGTTTTTTGTATTATAAATATATTTTTAAAATTAAATTTTATATATAATTAATTTGTATATATATTCAATTTTATATTTATAAACTTATTATATTTTTTAATTATATAAATATAATAATAGTAAATAATATTTTTTTACTTTTTATTAAAAATATAATATTTTCTGTATATATTTGTAATATTATATACTATAAAAATTTAAATTTATTTAGTTTTAAATATTTTTTTATGAAATTTTAATAGTATAGTTACATTACCAAAATTTTAAAGTATTTAAATAGTTTTTAAAGTTTATAAATAGTGTAAAAATAAAATAATATATTTTTTATTATTATCATTAAAGAAATAATTTATATTACTATTATAAATTTATTAATAATAAAATAATAATAAAAATAAAATAGTTAATAATTAATTATATTTAATTTTTTTATTATTAATATAAGTAATAATTAGATATTTTAAATAATTTATAAATAAATATTAATAAAAATTATAAAAAATAAAAATATTTATTTATTTATTTATAAATTTTAATTATAATATTTAAATTATAAAGTTATTGTTAAAAAAAATTTTTAATATAAATTTTTTTTTAATAAGTTTTAAGTACCTTTTTATTGAAGATAAAAATAATTTTAAAATAAATAATAAAATAAAAAAATTATCTAAAAGTTTATAAAATAATATTTTAGAAAGTGTATATAAATATTTTAAAAATTAAAATATAAACTTAAATAAAAATTTTACTTTTTAAATAAAGTCAATTTTTCATATTAAATATAAAAATAATATATTTTTAAAGCTTTTAATTTTTATTATTATTTAATTTTATATTTAACTTCACTATTTTCAATATAAAAGTTAATTAAATATAAAAATTAAGAGAAATATATTAAAATCATTTTTATTAATATATAAAGATATATAATATATATATATATATATATATAATATGCAGCAGTGTTTTAATGATAGTATAAGAAAATGTCATATTTTATAGTCTAAACTCTATTGAAATTTTTTTTTAATGAACATGATTAAGATATGCCAGGACCCAAGATGCTTTATATCAAATGAACAGTAGTTAATTAGTTATCTTTCTCTCTTATGTAAGGGTAGTTTCAAACTTCATAGTTAACTAATAGTTGTAAACTACTGCTCAATCCCTAATTCTGTCCCAATCTTAATTTTCTAATATTAATTCCTATAATATAAATCTAACCCTGACCCACCCCTAAGCCAGTTCAAAGGACTGAGGTGTGGTAGTGGTAGTGGTTGTGTGTGTGCATGTGGTGGGTTGTGTGTGTGTCTCTGTGTGTGTGTGTGTGTGTGTGATACATGTGGATAAGTCCGGCTAAAGGGAACGCATATGATAATCTCCCAAATGTTAACTAACTAGTCTGGATCGTCCTTTTTCAAACCACCACCGTACACGTTCGAGGGTGGAGATATCTTGCTGGGGGAACGGAGGACACCCTATCATAGGTTATTCTGAGATTTGGCATCCAAAGACAGGAATATGCAGGGTGGCTTTGTTGGGCTACGCTAGGTGTCCTCTTGTAACTATGTATGATCTCGGTTGATGGAAACTTCCAAGGTTCAAGCGGAAACTCATAATTCGTCCCGGCAGGGGGAAGAAAGAGATGAGGAAGATATAATTCAGTTCTTCCCTATTTCGACAAGTCCAGACCTCTGGCGCACAAGTTTAGTTTATCAAGTGCTTAATGGGTTGAGAGATCGCTTTGTATACGCCAATATTCTTCTCCATTCCCTCTTCCTAGTTGAAGAGGCTTAAAGCAATCTGTCTCTCCACCCGGCTCTTCTGCCAAACAATTCCTAGATACAGTTGATGAAGAACTCAATTGGCATGATGAACCTTGAGAAAGACAGGGGACAGGCACACCTAACGCATGGCCCACATCATAATCCTATAATCCAATTACCCATGTTCATTCGGCATATCCATCCGTCAAAGTTCAAAGTTCTGGAGAACCTTCATTGCTCCATAGTTTGTCAAAGAGTTTGGTTTTATACGCACCAGAGGCGAGATATTGCCGAAACACGAAGGAACTTCTAGGAAAAGCGGATGGAGTTCGAAATTTGCCATCATAGTAATAGTTGATAAGAACAATTGGTAGAATTGTGGAGGACACCCAACCGACAGCCAAGAGACGTGGAATTTCTAATTATCTGTTGTCAAGTTTTGTGCGAATTTAATTTTTGACGTTAACTAGTCACGCTGAAACCTTTTTAATAGATGCTTCATCACGCAGGAACAGGATTTATTCTGTCAGCGTCATTACTGAATATATCACCAATTACCTAGATAGTTGTTGGGGTGCATTTTTCGGAGTCCGATTTTCAAACCAAATGTTCCAGCCCAGAATTCAAATAAGCGCGACCTAGGAGAGTCAAGGGTAACTTTCGCCAGGAAATTTTTCCCGGAGGTTGGGAGGGGGAAAAGCTGATTGGGTTTTGGGAGAACCACTAACTCTATTCCGATAGAACCTTGGGAAGGATTTCCCAAGCACAAACCGTGGTGAAAGATGCTGCCCTGAAATAAGTCCTCCCGCTGGGCTTCCTGGGCTGCGACTTGGGGCCATGGCGTGCAAAACGAGCCTTGTCCCTGCGCAGAAAAGTGGATGAAATTGGATTTCATAGTTGCTGGCAGTTAGCAGTAACTCCGCAGTTAGTGGTTCCGAAGTCGCGGATGCAAGGGATGCCAGTTCATCTCTAGGGCAGAGTATTTTTGCGCGGCGGCATGCATCGGGGGGGGTTCGTGAGATCCGGCTGCAAGCTCTGGAGTGCAGGAGTAAACCTTCCGAAAAAACAATCTTAAAACCAGATAATTTTACATAGAACTATCCATAGGTTGGCCCTCTTGGTCCGTTTCGAGAACTTGGGCAAAGATAAAGAAAGACAGGTACAGAGAATGCGTAACCAGAACTTTCCTGGCAGTGGCCCGCCAGCTTGTGTTGAAGGAGGGAAACCCGCTTTTCTGTTGCATGTGAAACTTACTTTTGCTATTCCACAGTATTCTAACTGACTAGCTATAGTTAAATAAATCGTCGCTTAAACTCGAGTGTGCAGTTGACAAGGGATGAAGGAGGAATATTTGGGTTCGGAACAGATCTAGGTACATCAACCACTGCCGTGCGTGCAAACGGCACAGAACATGGTCGCGAAACGACGAGTCCACCATCCAATCAGTGTATGTATGTATTTATATATTTCCCCAAAATATTTCTACATGTAAGGTGAAGCATCTTCACAGTGTGAAAGCAGCCCGGGCTAAATATGGTCATGTTGCATTGCGGTGAGCTCACGGCCGCGTTGTTGATCGCAGACTCCAGCTGCTGGCTAAAATGCATGGAATGCGATGTGTGATTCGATGGGCAAATTGATAATATCTATCCAACGAACTAGTTTTATCTTCCGGCTGTTGCACTGTCTGACTAAGGAATAACTAATTCACCAACTAACTGACCAATGTTTGATACGAGCAAGTTTCAAGGTTACGTCGTTCACCTTGTTCCCTTCCAGCCCGTCAACCGGCCAACCTTAAATAACTATCCACATCCCCAAACAGTAGTTCTCCTATAGTTTCTACGACTAGAAGCACCACCACCACTCTTCTTCAAACTCATTTATGTTTGTCTGCGCTGCGCACCCCGGAAATTCCTCTTTGCTCTTCTCCGTTATTTTGGACATATCTGTTCTCTTCCTACAGCTTCTCTTTCCTTGCCATCTCCTGTCTATACTGCCAGTCCACCCAGCTCAATATCTGGGGCTCCTGTTCTCACAAAATCTCTCCACTCCTACACATGCACAGGGTCACATCGGTGTGAAAGTCGCCTGCCTCACTCTCTCGCAAGGTCGTATCCGCCCGCCTAACCTCCTCCGCTTTGCTGCTTCAGCTTCCTAGACGACCACTAAAAATATCTCTCCATCGCCTGTCCGTATCCTCTGTTATTGTCATTCTCATCTTCTATTATCCTCGTTCATCATCATCCAGTGGGGTTCTGAAATAACCAACCCTCAAATACCGCCACAACCTCGTGCAAGCTCCTTCGATCTCCTATCTTGCTGGAAGCCGCAGTATCCACTTCGCTGTAGGGTCCGTACTTCAAATTTTGAGGCCCCTTCGGCTGTGGAACATTATCGTTTGCAATTTCCGCATCCTGTACATCCATCGTCAACCTCGACACTTGTCAACATATATTCACCTCACCGCGTTGCGAAATCAGAACGACCTTTGGAAGTGTTTTTATATGTAAATCTACGTCATACTTGCACTTGGATTGCCCCTGCTACCTCTCAGCTCTCATAGCTGGGTTTTTACTGAGACCGTACAGCGTCCTGATCTTCATTGCCACATTTATATCCCCCCATACAATCTACAAAATATTTCAGCGGGTAAAACATGGCGCAATGCAGCGGTATCGACAACCAAGACCCTGCTCTAGATCATGAGTCATATGACGGCAATGATGGCCTCCAGGGAATGGATAATGGGTCGTCTAGTCTGCAAAGCGATGATGACACCATCGACAGATTCCTAAGTCCTCTTGTTGTGCCTGACACCACTCTCTATCAACTGGCCTGCCGGTTCCAACATGTGTACCGCCACCTTGCTCGAACATCAGAAGAGCAGTTCTTACCCACTCCGGTAACAAGACTACCGACGGGCCAAGAAACCGGCAGATACTTGGCGATTGACGTTGGTGGGACCAATCTCAGAGTGGCCTTCATCGAACTCCTGGGAGCAGCGCCGGAGAGTGACAGTAGCACCAACTCCCCGAAATCACGTGATACCATGAGGAAGGCACAGAGAAAACGGGTAAATCGAACATTAGAAAGGACTTGGCCAATAGGGGAGCATCTGAAGAAGGACCAGGCAGAGGATTTGTTTTTGTGGATCGGCGACTGCATGGCAGAGGTGGTGGCAGACAGCTTAGCGCTTAATGTTGCAGCTGGTACCTCTTTTCCAACAGAGCTTGAAATGGGCATCACCTTCAGCTTTCCGATGATGTGAGTCTTTTGTCAGGTTTCTATATACCTCTCTCGCATTACACATCTATCTGCTGTTGAGTTTGCCGCCGTAACTAGTAAAAGAGATACATTCCTCTCCTGCCCCCAGCATTTAGATATGTATCTGTGCTAACTGCGAGCAGGCAAGAATCACTCTCTGAGGCGAGATTGATGCCAATGGGAAAAGGCTTTGCAATAACCTCCAATCTTGATCTAGGCGGTATATTACTCGCAGGATATGACAGGCATACAAGGCGACCCTTTGAGAGAGACGAACCGTCCGCCAAAAGACGGAAACTTTTTGACCTGCCAAAACTTAAGATTGCGGCCATCACCAATGACACAGTAGCAACCCTTGCATCGTTAGCGTACCTCGTAAAGTCCTTACCAAATAGCCGTGTTGCGATGGGCATCATTGTGGGGACGGGCTGCAACGCCACGATCCCTATGAGATTGAAAGACCTCCACGAATCAAAGGCAAAGCACATTTCTTCGAAACATCCATGGGCCGTGGAAACTGTCGTCAACACTGAATGGACCCTCAATGGTGCTGCACCGCCTCTCCGTGAGCTGAACATCACTACAAAGTGGGATACACAGCTGGATGAGGCCTGCACCCGACCCGGTTTCCAACCATTCGAGTATATGACCGGAGGCCGCTATATCGGTGAGCTGGTACGGATTGTCTTCTACGATTACCTGACCAACGTAGTTGGGCTTTCCAAAAAAGAGCTACCAGCAAACCTGATCCAGGAATATGCCCTCACAACTGCATACCTGTCATCTTCCGTTGCGCAAATATCATCAGATGCCGTCCTGGTGCGACATCTTAACCAGACTTTGCCACCACCTGAATCCAGTGATTGGACCTGGGATACAAATTTCGCACGAGCTTTCCGGAAAGTTGCCCAAGCCGTCCAGACGCGGTCTGCAGGGCTAATCGCCGCTGCAGTCGTTGGCCTGCTCGCATGCAAAGGAGAAATAAAGCTCCGTGATACGTTCGATCCAAGCCCGCGCCGACTACATAACATCACAGTCCCCACCTTAAACAATGGCTCCTCTTCAAAGCCTGTCGTAGGCGCTGTAAGCTCTGAGTTAGCCTCCAAAGACGGTGCCAAGGTTACGGCCAGTGAAAAGCCCAGCTCTGACGGGCACAATGCACCCATCATTGAATCCGTACCTTCTAACTGGAAGTCTGGCCCGGAGGAACTGGTGGTAGCGTACACAGGTGGTATTATCCAGCGATATCCACGCTTCAAGGATACCTGTCAGCAGTTCATTGACCGGCTAGTGATTTGGGATGGGCCTCAGGAGAGTGGAAAGTCGGTGTTTCTGCGGGAAGCATCGGATGGTGGTATTATTGGAGCGGGTGTGCTTGCAGGCATGTTGGCTGGCGAGAGGTAATAGGTGAAAGTGGAGGTATGAAATTAGTGGAAGAGGAACCCCATCCGGGTCTTCTGAGGACTCCCTGCAAATATGTCGATACTCTAGGCCACGACGGAAGGGTGGAAAATCGTCGGCGGAATTGGGCAGCTAGGAGCTCTGGATAAGATACCCTATTGTTCGGTTTCATTTTCACAATCGAACCACACTCTCTTGACCCGAGCCCTTTTATTTGCCCTATTCTTTTTTGATGTTAGTCGGCACGAGAAGGGCGTCACCCAAAGTAGCATTTCTCTTCTCAAGTTACTTTACGTTTTGCTAACGGCACAAGAATTTATGGAACCGTTATTTTTATCTGCTCTTTTTGGCCTCGCCAATTTTGCGTTTAGTTATTGTGAGTACACGTGTGTATACCTTACTGGGACCATTCTAGCTTCTTTCTTCTCCGCCATTTTTCTTGCTCAGTATTCTGATGTTGCTGGCAGGATATCCCATTTGCGTTAGTAGCATCCATACACAAATACATTGATGAGTCCAGGCGAGTCAGCAGTCTTCACTGAGAGGATTTTTTCATTTTTGATAGCCCATGAAGAAGCCTGGGAAACCCCAAATTGAGTGATATCATCAGGTTATCGCAGAGTAATGGCTCCTAACCACATGGAAAAGTGTGGCAGAGCGAGGTATGTACACGGTATGCAATCTAGCAACAATCTCATTGTTTGATTTTCTAAGAAACATTGGATGTGTGATTCAAAACTCAAAGTCGTTGGAAGTATTGCAAGCGTCGGCAATTTTGTAGAATCTACCTGTGCGCGGAGATGTGCATATAATAAATTTCAAGATCAAAAATGGAAGAGCATATGGACATTCCTACACCAGACTTCGTTGTTGTCATTTCTTCAGCCTTCCCCAAAACCTCCGTCCCTCCTTCTCCGTCAAGAAGTGGCTATCTCCAGAGCTCTTCCTGGTTCAAGTCCCAGGAATTCCGTCCTATCGACCCGCAGAGGATCCAAGGCTTCTTCTGGCCTCACGTACGACGCCGACAGAAGGCATAGATACGGGGGGCACGTAAGTTGTTCTTTTCTCGCATCCCACCCGACAGGTAGTGGGACTTGAGCTGAACTGCGTCAACGTAGGAGTCTCCAGGCACGACAAGGTTGGACATGGGGCTATCGAGGTTGGTGCTGATGCATGGATTTGCCGATGCATGTCCAAGATGAGCAGAAATCCTGGACAATATGGTTGTATGGGTATAGCAGGGTTTGGCCGCATTTGGAGGAGTAGCTATTTGAATGGCTGCACGGACGGGCATTGCGGAGCTATATCGACCCTTTTTTCTGAGTTTGATGATGTGACTAAAGACGGAGTAAGACAGGGTGCAAGATGCAACAGTCCATCAAAAAAATGTAACAGCATATAAAATTTCAAACACAGACAAGGGGCCGCCCCCCCCCCCTCCCCCCAACACCTGAAAAGCGCAAAAGCACCCGCCAGGGATAATGGAAATGCAACAGAGGACTTCATGTTTTATGGGTAATGGAAATTTCAACGGTTGAGATGTGCTATTCGCCTTGGAGACAGAAATTGGAGTGTACGCTTGACAAAGTCGTATAAATCGAAGCGGAGCCCCAATAGTGGGAGACTTCCATTGTTTTATATGCACACTTTTTGACGTTAGGCACTCTGCAGATCCATGAACAAGAACCCCGTACCCTTGTCAGCGGACTTGGCAGCTGGGCCTTGCCATAAATATCCGGCCCCTGCTTTCTCTCAGTAATAATTGCTATTGAGAAAGGTTTTCGAACCGCTTGCGACGAGAAGGTCGTGAGATCCATTTTGTTGGGACGATGCCTTATTGGTTTCCACAAGGTTTAAAAACCAGGAAAGTTAGTTTTGATGGCCAACAAATAGGCACAGAAGCAAAATATTTTTGGCGTCGATCAAAAGTAAAACTGACGGCTTTTTCACAGGTGGGGGATTTGTATATCAAGTCGAGCTACGTTCTTTAGGCAGATTTGGATATAGAACACTTTTTGATTAGCCTGTTACAGCGCACTGTCTAGGTCGAAAGTTTTCATGAGATTGGAAGACAGACGATTGAGGATTGGAAGAATTGCACACTGTTATGTCTCTCCCCTCCATATTTCCCCTCTCCTTGCAAAAAAAAAAAAAAAAAAAAAAAAAATTGGCCGGCTAGACTTCTTGCCAGTGTCGAATGTTTTGTTAGTTGTGAGTTATGACGTAAAAACCGAAAGACTGCCAGAACGTATTGCGGATAGCGCGGGGTTGAGTTCGAGGCGGTTTGGTTCTCAGGTCCATGTTCCCAAGGTATGAAAAAACCATATCCGCGATCGAGCTCTCCACCAGTTGTCGTGCAAAAATAGAAATGATGTGATTAAACATGCCGTACCATAATTAACCTAATTCGTGTCTATCAGGATTCGGTTGCATGGAATGTAAGGTCTCCCAATCGTGTTAAACCAGCTAGAAGGAATTTTCATCATGATTCTTTTTGATTTCTTGAGGACCCCCTAAAGGTTACGGAAACGTTCCCAGGGCTGATCTGGTAATTAAGCCCTATTTGTTCTAAACCGGAAGAATGACCTGAGAGTTTTCGTCCATGCTTCAAAAAATCTCAGTGATATTGCGAATGTCATAATAGCTCCATAGTTAAAGATAATGCAGAGACAGCCATAACGAGGCTAGATCTCCGCAAGCGCAAAAATTTTTGAACGATGACTTGAACTCCGGCTTCCTGGGAGCGGGCACTGAGGTTAAACTTTGGTGACTTATTCATGTTGGAAACACCTACCGGAGTCAAGGAGGACAGGCGTTCATTTTGGCGGGATGAACGTCCCTCATCGTGCTTTTGCGCCGTTTTCCGAGTCCCCACGCCACGTACCAATGCCGTACAATACCCCAAAGAACATACTCTTTGTAGCGTACTGGATTTGGAACGGCTAGATATATCTTAAGGTAATCAGGGTTATCTGAATGAAAACTTAACACCCAGAGTCGGAGGCCAAGAAGAGTTCATATGTCATGACTGACCAGCATTGAGCTCGACAGGGAGGATATGCTTTGAGGGGTAAATCAGCCATATCTGCCGTATTCACCAAAAGCTTTCCAGTAACAGTTCTGTTTCCATGGTGCGTAGAGTAAGAAAAGCAGACGGTACATTTTCTCAACTTTGCTCCTGGTTAGGATTTCAACTTCGGAGAACCTAGAACTAACCCTAGTTCTGAACTTTCCACGCATGGAGTTGAGACAAATCATAGCCAAAACTAGATGTGGAACCTTATAGAACCCTCTTTTGAAGGAAGGAAAACAGATGAAACAAAAAGCCGTACCTAAAAATGTTAAAAATAGTATTCAAAGTTGTCAAATCAATTTACATGTAACCCGTCGCGTTCTCCCCATATCTTTTGGTGAATTCTTCCATTGCCTGGGAAACTATACCGCTTTTATCTTTGTATGTATGACCACTGTAATTTGCATATAAGATATGAACAAGTTCGGGAATAATACATTTTCTCTAGATCCTTTGGGTCAAGAACGATCCACTCATCATGCGATTCGCATGCAGTATTTGTGTTGCAGGTGGATTTCTCGGTGGGCAGATGAAGATGGCTTCACCTTCACCACTCATTGAGGGCAACAATCGGTCAACATCTGTCACGATACGTTCCCTAGGCCCTCGCGAGGTCTGGCAAGCGGCTGAACCGTGCAGGATTGAGTTTCCATAGATTTCCAGCAAGAACAAAAGTTGGGGGTGTGATCAATGTTGCGGTGAGGGCTTGTGTCCTAGAGTTGCATGTACGATACTGGCCACAGAGGCCTTAGAACCACTTGGTGATAGAACAGATTTACTTCTCAAGAGTAGATCTGAATGCCCGTGTAAATAGGATCGGAGAGAAGAACAGTTGGGCATAGCGACGGCATTTAGTAGGAAGGGTCAATCTAGAGTTTCAATCTCATAAATATCGGTGTTCAGCAGACATAGGGAGATTCTTGAGGCATTTCGATATTCACTCCACATTTATAACAGGACCTGAAGTTCGTGGAGTCAAATTAAAAGGAACATATTGTTCTTGACTGATAGTTTCATATCCAAGTTTTCCATCTTCTAGCTCCAAGGAGAACACACCAACCTCATTTATCCTCTCTTCCAACTTTTCACGTAGCTCTTGGTCTCCTTGAGCTACACTTTTTATAATATTGATTCCTGAGTGATGTTGTTCTCAGGTTGTTTGGGGTTTTGTGAAGAACCATAGATGTTGCGGACTGCTGTGATAGTTTGTTTACTTTGGGAAGATTGTTGAAGTTACCATTTCCAGCTCCCGGTATGCCTGGTCAAGTTCCTCGTTTTGTCACTGAACACGAGAGGGTATGGCATGCATGGCTCGCAGTTGTAGAGAGAGAAAATTGCCAAATATATAAGGCCTTTAATGATTTAAATTGTGAAGACTTCAACCGCAACATATTTAGTATAAAGATCTTCAGAGCTGTAGTAATAAGTAGCGTCACGTGATTATTTATTTATTTAATGTTGAGCATGACCGCCCGGTAGCCGCACCACCTCACGTGATGTACGCGTATATCAGTTAGCTGGCCAGTCCTCCCACCCACCAATGGAAGACCAACCATCCCACATTTAAAACGTTAGTTGCAGTCACGTGAAAATCTTTAACCAGACAAATCCACTTCACCTAAAGGTCGCCATCAAACCATCTGAACCTACAACTCCCTCGCTCATCACGCCGCAACAATGAGCGCTCAAGCATACTATGAGCTCTACCGGGGTAGCAGGTATTGCATTTCACGGGTTAATAAGCAGTAAGAATATGGGCTAATACACCTCACTTTCCTAGCATTGGCTTGTCCCTAACCGATACGCTTGATGACTTGATCAACGAGGGCCGTATCGAACCGCAGCTTGCGATGAAAATATTGTCAAATTTCGATCGGGTCATAACAGAAGTCCTTGCCGAGAAAGTGAAAGCCAGACTTTCTTTCAAGGTAAAGCTGTCTTCCCGCCATTTGGTAGTTTTGGAGCTCATCTTTGTCCTGGGAATTTTAGCTAATTTGGGATGCTTGCGTCAAGGGTCATCTGGATACCTATCGATTCTGCGACGAAGTCTGGACATTTCTCATCAAAGATGCTACCTTCAAACTCGATAACCAGACCACAGTCCATGCGGACAAAGTGAAAATCGTCAGTTGCAATAGCAAGCGTCCAGGGGAGGTGTAATTCATCCAACATTTACCTCGCCCTGTTAAAATTCACAACATCATAAGGAGAGGCGCAAATTGGGGTAACGGATTTTCCATATGGAAAGCTTGGTGAAAGGGTACATATTCTTGTTTTAATGCTTTCTTGAACGTGGTTTATGGGAACGGCGTTTTTTGTCCTTTCATTCTGAGATTTAGACCACTATGCCACACTGAATGGCTTATGACCAATGATACCACGAAATTTCGGCTCTGATAGCTTTTTCTCGCCTTTCCACTGCGCGCGTCCATTCCTGGCTTATGCAAATCGTGGTTTGAAGCTATGATCTGGTTGTTGAGATGGTTCTGAGTGCTCCACAGCATGTCTGCTATCAAGGCTGTCTTCCTTTACTTTCTCTAATTTTGAGCATGGAGGAAGCAAATGGACGATACATGTGTATGTACCTAGGTACTTATTCCTCGTCATACTATAGAGTAATGAACTGCTGCAGCGCAGTGAAATATTTCCCAAGGGTTGTTGTTAACTGTGAGAAACACGTGATATTTCAACGTGCCCGTTACATATTTAGGCCTTTATTAAACCCGCTTCCCCAAGGTAGTCCAACGCTGACCTTCATCAACCACCATCCTTCATGCCCTCTTCTATGGTCTTATATGGGCAAGCCAGTTTATCAGTTCATTTAATTCATCTGTATTTGGATGCGGCGCTTTCTAATGGATATCTAGGTCAGCTATGGATGGGTGACCGTTTGTTTGGACCAGTCCTTGATATCTGCAGATAATTAACTAGTTAACTAGTTATACCTCTTGACTCCCTAGCGGAACACACTGCAAAGTGCTTGAATCCTCAAAGCTCTACCTAAGCTTTGTTCGCGATTGTCTCTTATTATGGTCTAAAATTGCGCAGGTCTTAAAATCTACTCGAGCTGCGTATTGCGCAATTATGCCCCGAATACTGCCATGGCAGGTCAATATCAAGGGGCGCAAAAGTACTACGTCGACTAGAAGTGCCTCCCGAAAGCCGTCACCGTCACAGGCTTCAACTGAAACAGAGTTGGCTAATGCGCCAACGTCTACAAGGACTCCACGCCATACTGGTATGCAAAGTGCTATGCTGATATCTTTAAATTTCGCATGCTAACTTAACAGTTCAAACTCCTCCTTCTCCACCATGCGAACCACCTCCCGTAGAGTTCGTGGTTTCTCTTCTTGGTGCTAGGCAAGTTAAGTTAGCTAACAGGATGTTATAGGCTAATGAAAGAGGGCTTGGAGAGCGACAATCAATACATCATGGTTGAGGACGAATTTCTAGCCACCGCGCAGACTTTCACTCGCCATCTTCACCATGCTGAGTATGTACGCAGAAAAAAAGAGGCGAAAATCAAAAACGCCAACGCTCTCAAAGACCTGGCTCGATCCGCGGGCTTGAAAGGAACGTTGAGTGCTGATATTCGAAAAAATATGGAGTCTGAAGAGAACGCCGCCCAACACAATGCAGCGCTGGAGGAATTTAAAAGAGTTGCCGGTCGCCCTCCAGTCGACTCTGAAGTTGAAGATGGCGTCGGAAGCGAAGAAGATAGCGATGATGATCCATGGGTGGGAACATCTTTACAGAACTTGATGAATCAAAAGAAACACCAGTCCTTGGTTGGTTTACAGGGGATCAGGTCTGCCTCTCGAGCCGCACTGGGGTTTTCGAAGACACCTGCTCGATCGCCGTGGGAACGACCTAAAAGCGACGAATATGTGAAGGATCCCGTTTCCAATCGTGGTACTGAAGTTAATCCACATCTAATTGATGATGAAACGTCTACGTGTGACGATGATGATCTTGACGCCCAGTCCAGACGACCAGAATCAGTTCAGATGGCAACCCAGCAGTCTAAGTGTACCGGCGAGAGTACGAACTCCGTACCTATTTCACTATCTATCATTGAGGGAGCACAAACAGTATCACGATCAAATGTGCAGGAAAAGGTAACTGCATCACATCACTTAGTCCGGCCGAACACGGAGCATCCCCGATATAACCCGATTCCTCCGTCCACACGTAAAAGTAAAGTAATGACTTTGCTCGACGAATTCGATGACGATAAAGTACACGTAATAAGGAAATATGATATGAAAGCCAAGGACCAAACTCGGAAACGTGTCCCATCAGAAACTGCATCCAATAAACGCCACAAGAGGGACAGAAACTCCAAAGAATCCCACCTCAGTGAAGTGCCAACATTCTTGCTGTGAGGGGTATAAAAGCAAATATCATCGTCCTCTTAACATCGAAATTTTCATCAAGGTCGTATTTCCTGGGTCCGTTCGTAACCATTTCCTTTTTCATTTTCGGAAGTCATATGGGGAAAAAGTAACATCTCATTCCCCTATTTCATAACTCTGGCTTATGTCATCTCAGCAAAGATAACCGTCTCCCTGGGCTCTTAGATCGACTGCGCGAAACGTTTAGATACGTTGTCGTCTCATCCGTAAAATGCTCTCGTCGATATGGTGTGTCAATTTCCCCTTCAACTTCTTGGATTCATGCTGAAACTTTTCGCGCCTTGAAACTCGATAAAGGGTGCTGGAATCACTGGGAGTTTTGTCCGACAGGGTATCTCTGCTCCATTATGGTTAGCATTGAACCAAGCAGGACAGACAAGTCACAGAACCACATACTCCTTGTCAAAAAGAGGCATTGCGAATTCTACCCGGCGGAAATCGGTTGGAGGCCCCTGGGATTAAAATGAGGATATAAGCACTAGAGCAAATCCATCATATCACGTTGGGTGTGCTCACAATTATCAACCGATTCGAACTCTTTTGCCGTCGCGGATGGAAAGATTTGATCCATGGCACCAAACTCCCAAAGCAGTCCATTTCCCTCCTTCTTTTGTATCCCGTTCGGTGAGATGGCGAATGGCCTAGTCAATGGGTTGAGGGCTCCTAAAATCAACAGCGGTGCTTTTCAGGTATCGTTGACAAGGAGGCAGTTAATCCTTTTATGAGAAATCTAAAGAGAGGCAGTGGGAAAGGAAGTATTTCGAAGTGGTCGTTCGCTAGGTTGCTCAAAAAGGTCTCAGTAAAATAAATGAACGAACGACCTGACGGTCAAAGAATGAGCAGGAGAGGATATAACAAAACTATATGAATTTGGAGTTGTACAAATAGATCAATATTAACATAAAAGAAATAAATTAAAAACAACAAATCCAGCGTCAGGACTCTTAATCAAACCCAGAGGAAAAGCAAGGCGAGACAAAAACGGTGTGATTTTAATCTGGAATGAGACAAAAAGAACTAAATCCCATTCATATACTTATCTGTCATCCACGAACCGTAAAGTCAGAGAATAAATAAAAATATCCTCCAGACATGAATACAGATTAGAAAAATCGCAAGAAGCCTGCAGAAGAACTGCTGAAAGGAGGGGTCGAATCCGCACAAAGATAAAACTCGCGCGATGAAACACACCGGGATAGATGAGGCAGGACTTGGAGGAGTTACCGTACTCCGCTATCATTTAATAAAATGTTATTACGATTTTCCCGAACCCGCATCCACTTCCCCCTGGATTACCAAGCCAGTCCAATATGCTGATAGGGAACCTGCCAAATGAGAGTCGTAATAAAAGGTGTTGTTATAGTTAGTCCGTATGCAAAGGGGTCTGGTCCATGTTATCCAAGAAAAAAGAACCCGAGAATGGAGACTGTTTAAAAGAGCAGTGAACACAGGGGGACAGCAGCGGTATCTTTTTGCATTATTCCCACCATTCGCCCGCCATTGATCCGCTCAGCTTGTTGCGGAGTAAGATAGCATAGAGGAACTACGTTTGAATGGGGCTCCAGTTGACTGAATAACATAGTCCCTGCTCACCAGAGCCATTCAGCCACCAGCCAATAATTTATCTACTTATTTTTAATTTAATTTATTTTATTCTAAGATATCTCGAGTATCGGAATGTTGTATGGTCACCGGTAAGCATTGTCAGGAACAGGTAACATCTGTTGTGGCGATGCAAAGCTGATACGAGGGATACAGTGTTGCGCTTGAATAAATATCTATGCAAACTCTATGCGGGCGGGTAACTTAAGGGGCTGTGTTTGGAGTTAAGATGGATACGGAGCGCTGACGTGCTTTTGGATCTCTGATGGCCACTGCACCCTCCGGGCCACTTTGGCAATATGGTTACCTCCTTTACAGCGAGTGCGGAGTGCATCAATGTATTATTTATGGATGTTTGGAAAGTTCCTGCTTGTGTCGTAGAAGTTCCAACGCCTGTGTGGACGATATCCACGCAGCCAACATGTGTGCCACGGTGGAAAAAGAACGACGGTAATTAGTTCCGCGTTAAATAGATCGCCAGGAGTGGAACCCAAATCCAAGTAATTGGCTCTTTACCCGGTTCCTTGTGTCTACAAATACTCCGTTAGTGCCACTTTGGTTGGCTTGCTGTCAGCAAATAGGCGTCTGGGTAGAAGGTTAGTGAGGCATTTTGTTGCCGCGAAGTTGGGATCTTTGTATTTATCTTCAAACCCTCCCCATCTCCACCCACCGAACGGACGAATCTTCCCTGGACCAGGTCTACCCGCAAACAACCTCCGGAACCTAAGACCATGGATATTTCTTACCGTTCAGGGAACGCGCCACGAAAACGCCTGCCAACACACAGCGTGTGGAGATGTTTCAACCTCACTACGTTTCCAATAATATCCTGCTGGCCATTTCCGCCCCCGCCCCTTCATCTACCCCGTTCCTGGGTTGGGCTGTTTACTACTATCCGCTCATCGTCACAAGTTGGATGGACTGATGTGATCGTCTTGGCTAAGCGGGATTGCTACCGTGGAAACTTCCCGGCAGCGATCACTATTGTTGGAAACCCAAACCCGCTTATTGCATCATCAAAATGTGTCCGAGGATGCCGGTGCTCTGCTGCTGCTGCTGGTGGTGCCTGAGTTGGCGTGCGAATTGTGTGACATAGGAACTCCCCCAGTCCATAAAATTGACCAAATATGAAGCCATGCCATTGGAATATCTACGTTGGAGTGTTTGGTATGGGCCAATTCTCTTGTCACCACTGCATTTCGAATGTCTCTTGGAATTTTAGTGCCAGAGAGGTGGACTATCATGATCTAGAAGCTTGGGAGACGTCGCCTTGTTCAGTTGGTAATATATCTTATTCATCCGGATTCTTCCAGCGGCTTTTGGTCAAAACCGCATTGAAGTCCATGACCTTGCATCCTGCCAATTGGTCGATGCGATTGCGTTCAGCCAAATAGGTTCCAGTGGATTATCAATCCTTCGGACTCCAGGACCTCCAGATATCTTAACAATCCTTGGATGTCAACATTTATGATACTAGCTGGTATTATACTACATGCAAAGTACTTGTCACCGGCAGGCAGAACCTTTCTTTCAATGCAAAAATATGCCAACATCCCAAAAATAAATATATCATGATTGTCGCTGTCCCAAACAAGACAGCGGGGATAAAGCGATATGAAAACAGAAAGATTCTCCTGCAATATTAAAATAAATTTTAAGTTATTTGGGATAGTCTTTGAAATGGAAGCTTTTCAGTTTGACAAATTGGTCAAATCCAAACCTGCTCAACGTCACCCCGCGTCCTGAGTCTTTCCATCCCGTCCATGCAAGATCCTATAGTGCAAGTCGGGTGAGTACGTGGTTTCTCATAAAGTCGACGGGACGTGAAATATATATATATATATATATATATATATATATAGACAGAAAGGGAATGAGTGTTCCGTTCGAAGTATAGAACTTACCGGACTCGGGTAATCAGCTCTGTTAACGAATACAGTGCCAGCCTCAATCTGTTGGATCAGCTGTTCAGCCGTAGCAACGTCCTTCGTCCAAACACTAGCTGTTAGGCCCAGGTTGCTCTGATTCATCAATCGAACGGCCTCCGCGTCATCTTTAACTTTCTGGACCGGTATAACTGGCCCGAATGTCTCGTTGGTCATGACTTGCATATCATGAGTTACTCCAGTCAGAAGAGTGGGTTTGACAAAATTCCCGGCTGCGGGAAGGTTATCTAAAGTCGGGTTTGAAGGTGTCTCGTCCACTGCCCCCTTCTTAACGGCATCTTCAATCTGCGCTAAAATATTCGCTTTTGCCCTTTTCGAAATAACTGGGCCGATCTGCGTCTTCTCGTCAAATGGGTCACCCACTCGGTATTTACTTAGCACTTTCTTCACCTCTTCGATAAATGCATCATAAACGGCTTCCTGGATATATACTCTTTCGATCGCACAGCAACTTTGGCCACTGTTGAAAATGGCTCCGTCAACAATCTCCTCCGCAGCCCACGCGATGTCAACATCGCTGCGGATGTATGCCGGATCATTTCCACCAAGTTCCAGACCAACGTTTACAATTCTATCAGCAGCCGCTTTTTGAATGGCTAGACCCGCTGCGACGGATCCTGTGAAGCAGATGTGGTTGATAAGGGGGGAACGGACAATTGTTTCGATGTCGATAGGGGAGCCGCAGTGGAAGTATTGCAGAACATCTTGTGGTAACCCTGCTTCGTTAAAAATGGAGGCAATATGTTCCACGACTGTTGGGGTCTGTGGAGAGGGTTTCAGAATAACAGCGTTTCCGGCCAGTAGCGCTGGAATTAAGCTATTTATCAACACCAAATATGGATACTATTAACGGCACAATTAGTAAACTCTGGACCTGATGGAATGGACCCACTGGTTAAAGTGGGAAAAGGCAATTTGGAATTCCTCCTAGGGAGTTTAAAAATCATAATGATCCAAGAATCGGGGGTAAACTCGAAAACATACATTCCAAGGGAAAATAATCAGCACGACCCCTACAGGCTCCTTTTTGATATACCTTCTAAATCCAGGCTCTGCCTCCGAGTGTATGATCCCTTCATCTCCCAATACGGTGCTAGAAATACGATTTAGGTATTCACCGCGTTTTATAGCTGTTGTGATCTCGCTACCAGTGTAGGCAATCGGGCGGCCCATTTGCTCTGTAAGTTCACGACCTAGAGCATCCTTCTTCTTTGCGAGAAGCCCAAGAGCGAGAGCAACGATCTGCTGGCGCTGACCCAGAGTCGTCAATCGCGAAAAGGAGCGGAAAGCGTCTTGTGCTTTTTGTGGCATTGATGCAAGCTCCTGCTGGGATACCCCCGGGCGGGTTATTATAGGATCGTTGGTGATTGGGGAAATCGTTGTCAACGCCTCTGAAGACATTTCGCTGTGTTTGCCGAGCCAGATATCTCTCCTTCTAAAGTATCCTCAAAAATCAGAAATAGGACTTCTGGGGTGTTCAGAGGTTGTGTCACTAGCAAACACTCTCGCCAATGGAGATAGGAAACTAAGCTGGAGCTTAGTGTATGATATAATTACCGAGGTGATCAAAACGAGGCCACCTGTGATTTGTGAATAATGAACGCCTCAATGATTTGGGGGGTTTCTCTCTTGTTCTCTCCTACAACAGACTTCAGAACATCATCAGATTTGACTTGACTTCTTGAGGTTGATATCATCATGCATGATGCAACGGCGCGGAAAAACAATAATGCGGATTCTACCCCAATCCAAAAATGCCGAAACAAATCGTCAAGCCCAGCGAAGAAGAAAAAGGGTGATAGATCATTGAAATATTCCGACGCTCTGTGCTCTCAAGGTATAATTCAACATTGTGGAAACCAGACATGGGGACTCGGCTCTTTGCAGCGTGAAAATATAACTTCTATCTCGCATCAATAATCCGACGTTTTGTAACTATAGCGGACAGTTCCAACCAGTTCCTTCGCGGATCAATTTACACAAGCGACGCGTTCAATGTCTAATATCTCATCTGTCCTTTCGCCAATTCCCTAACTGACGAGATGATTCTTCACAATGGCGTTTTATGTTTTATGTTTTTATTTTTATTTTTATTTATTTTTATTTTTATTTATTTTTATTTTTATTTTTTTTTTTTGGATCGCAAACCTCCAATAACCTAACTTCCGCTTCAGTGCCTCTCGAGATTCGTTCGATATCTTTGAATATAGCCGCTGTAAGTTTCTCCAGCAGGGCTTGCCTACCCTTTGATATCTCCGCCGTATGATGCAGGTGACACCCAGCTTAGCCATTATTTCTTGGACTCACTTCAGCCCCATATGTGCCGAGTGTACTGTGTCCACCTGCCGCTTTTTGGCCGTGCATTTGCTTCCTTAAGCTCCCATTTTACCTCCTGGGATAGCTTGATTGAGTCAACAAGAACGCCAAGGGCTTCTTGGGGGAGAAGATCCCGGCGAAATTTCAACGATCCATGGATGGCAGAATCAATTTCCTCTCCAACTCATTCCGCAGGACCACCATTTTAGCGATGATGAATCGGTTCCGTTTGCTCTCTCGTAGAGCGTGGTCGAGATCCTCCGCCTTGATGAAGGACTAGTGTTTTCGGCACTGGTTTCTTCTCACCATTTTCGCCGGAAATTTCAACCTCGGTCTCATTTGTCGTTTTCTGCATATGGGTTTTTATTTTCTCTTTCATTTTGCGATTGCAATTGCAAGTTTGGATCTTTGTTTTGCAGCTGGTGTATTGTTGTCTTTTTAAGGTCTTTCATCTGCGCAAGAATCCGTGCTATCTAGCGGTGTCTTTTGACATGCTGCTCGTTTGACAAAATTGCATCTGCGGTGCCTGATGTTAGGTGGTCTGCATAAAACTCGAGAAGCAATGTTCTGGAGTGAGGCGATCTGACGAATCCGCACTTGTGTCCTAACCCTAAGTTGAATATTGTTCCGTGATCTTCCACACCACTTCGGCATGGATACCGTAACATATTTTTCTAGCCCTCGGGGTCTGTTGAGACATGTACCATAGACTCCACATCTGCGGACTGTTTGAATTGAAGGAATGTTAGAAACGTTCCGCCACTGTTCTGCTCGTTCGTAACTCAGAGGATTGGGATCAATATTATTAACATCTACTGGTGCGGATGCACACGCAAACATACAACCCTAATAATCTTTCCAATGACCAAACGACATTCAACTATGTTTTTGCGATTAAACGTCCTGGAGCTCAACACGCTAACAATAGACCTGTATATAGTATTGTTGAGGTACCAGCATTACTCAAGCCCTATGGTGTACTCCAATCATTTTTATCCCACTTATATTCATAAATTTTGCATATCTTCCAACGATATCACTTCTGCTAATCATCCCTTGAAACTATAGTCGTCAAGTTAACCAATGTTGAAATATACCAGGAGGTTGTTCGTAAAAATCATCGGCACGTTGCAAATGTATCTGATATCTCTTCCTTACGGCTTTCCACGAACTACTGCATGTGGTCTTTCGAGTTCATTAGATACTAAAACTTGCAACCCTCAGCATTATCGCACTTCGCATTTATCAATAAGTAGCATCAACATGGGTGGAAGGGTTAATGAACTAATAAAGCTTTTGGGTTCCCTTCAAAATGATACATCTGATTATATTAAATTTGAGATACTTGAAAAGAAACTGAAACAAAAAAAAAAAAATGAATAAAATAATTAACTGTCTTTAACCCCCGCTGCGAGAATGGGGCGTGTTGGAAGCAAGCAAGTGACCTGAGGTGAGGAATCTCATATTAACTTGAGGACCTCCGCCAGTAAGAGGGACAGAAATTGGTGTCAACAGCGAGTGTTTGGTTTCCGCTCGCACATTGAACTTTAAAAGTGAGTATCCAGCTTTGGAATTGTCTTCAGGACAAGGGTGTTTCTCTGAGCAGGATTTATGAATAGGTGATATGCCTTCAAGGGGGTTATAGATGCAGCCATTGGCTACCACTCGCGGGAGGGCAAGAACCAGAAAAGGGAAACTGGGGAAGATAATGCATCCAGGTTCCCCAGAGATGCCATGGTTTACCCAAGAGCTGTCTATTGGAAAGACGACATCCTGGACTGTCTAACCATTCCATGCGAAGCCAGCCATTTGAATTTGATGCCTTGATTGGGCATTCACAGAACCAGAGCAAAGCGAAAAAGGTTCCCAGAAGGTCCGTGGAAATTGGCACGGATGAAGGCGCAGCCCAAGCCCGAGAATCAAATCAGTTGTCATTTCCCGGAGACACGAAGGCATACTATACTGCCCATGGGTCATGCCTTTAACATAGGCAGTCATGACATTTCGGAGGTAGCGTAGAGGATGCCCGAAACTGGCGGCTGCTAAAACCCGGAGAGCGTATCTATAATTAAGTGAGTTGATGACTCACAAAAGAGCAGCGATCAAACAGCAAGGGACACAAATAACCATGACACGAAGACCGTGTAGCATTTCTTTTCTTTTCTTTCTTCCTTTTTTTCGTTGTTGGTTCTCCACTGGTCTATTAATTGAGGTGAAGGTCCGATTCGCACGCACCAGCCAGGGCCAGCCTGAGCAAATACAGCAAACAGTGCAAACATGCCCTTCCAGTCAGCCGCTCTCAACAAAACTCTAACCATCCCAGTGCATTAGACGTCATCCGTTTTTTTGACGCCACTCAAACAGCCCTTGGAACCTTGGAGCGGACAGGACAGAGGGATATTTATTCCCAAATGTTGATGCTTAATATAGTGGAAGCATATATGGAACCCAAATGTGGGGATCATGAGGATTTGCCAGCAAAGTGGGGACAGGAAGAGGCGAGAAAACGAAAGGCACCCCCGCGCGGGACAAGACCAGAGGATCCGGATCTCCTGTTTTGTTTTTCGTGGAGCGCAAACTCGAGGACCTTTTTAAGGTTTCAGATCTATGCGATACGTCATAGGTGTGGGGGGAAGCTTGTTCTTGTCAAATTCCCAACTTGATTTCAATGGCCAATGTTTATGCAAGGGCTAATCAGCATGCCTCCATGACAACTCTATCGGCATTTATTGAAACGCCTTGACATCCATGGTTGATCCGAGTGATGTGCAAACCAGATGGAATATGTTGATGATGGCTAAGGATATAATTAAATCTTAGCATATGGAAAATGTCCCTTTCGCTCCCTAATGTGTGATATCGAGGGAGTGAGTGTGTGTGTGTGTGTGAGAGAGAGCGGAAGAGAGAGGAAGAGAGAGGAAGAGAGAGCGTCGGCTATTCCAAGTTCCCATTCCAGTCCGCTCTCGTCTTTTCCGTCATCTTCCCTCCCATACCCGGCACTACGAATAGGATTAAATGTCGCGTAGGTTGTAGAGATGCCACCTCAGAATACGATCAGTGTGTGTGTACACACCCGAGGATCCAGCAGATCTAATTATTCGGGGGGGCGCTGGTGCACTTGTTCAGGTACGGCGCGCCCACTCCTAGACTTTTTCTTGATTCAACATGTCCTTGCCGACTGGTGAGGAGGACATCAAGTAATTGATCTCGCGTTGAGTTTTGTGGAGCCAGCTGGACGGTTCCAAAAAATACGGACTGGGCTTAAACTTCTATTGCTATAAACTATATATATATATATTACTTCCGATTCCCCAGAGCTTTGAGAGACATCATATTTCTTGCTAAACTTACAGTATCCATCCTCTCCCTCCGTCACGGAAGAACTTGATTTATTATCTTTCCAATTCCTCATTGTTTTACTTGAGTAGCTAGCTGTCTTTTTACGTAACTATTGCTCAGACGAGTGGCAGCAAACATGGCATTGGGCAGTGTAGCCATTACAGATATCCATGTTAATGACTTTCAGGGTTCATTGGCCAACGACATCTACAACGGCCTTAACCCCCCAGACAGAGAACCAAAGTCGATGCCGACTCTTCTCCTTTATAGCACCGAAGGACTTCGCCGCTTTGAGGACATTACCTATGTGGATGAATACTACTTAACCAATGCTGAAATTGAAGCCTTGACAATGCACGCAGCCAAGATCGTGAATCAGATCCCGGAAAATGCTCAATTGGTGGAGCTAGGTAGCGGGTTTGTTTCTTCCCACTCAACTGGCGAGGACATGAACGATCATAATTAAAAATTCCCTCTTTTCCGCTGTCAATTCTTTAACCTTACTTGAGTTTTTAGGAATCTTCGCAAGATCGAGATACTATTGAATGAGTTTGAACGCAAGAACAAACCTGTTAATTACTTTGCTCTTGATTTATCTCTTGAGGAGCTCCAACGCACCTTTGCGGCAATTCCTTCGAAGGGTTATAAATATGTCAAATGCCGTGGGCTTCACGGCACCTACGACGATGCCCTCATTTGGCTGACGAAGCCAGAAAATAGACAAACCCCCACATGCATTTTGTTCATGGGATCTTCCATTGGCAACTTTACCCGTCCCGAAGCAGCTCAGTTTCTAAAAAGATTTTCGGAATTGCTAGGGCCGTCGGACTCCATGTTAATCGGAATTGATTCTTGTAAGGACCCGGAGAAGGTATTCAAGGCTTATAACGACAGCCAGGGCGTCACAAAGGACTTTTACAAGATTGGACTCTCTTATGCAAATTCAGTTCTTGGGTTTAAAGCCTTCAAAAAAGAAGATTGGGAAGTGACTGGTCTTTATGATAAATCAGATGGATGCCATAGAGCCTACTATGTCCCCAAAAAGGATATCACCTTTAAAGGGGTGGTCTTGAAAAAGGGCGAAAAGATATTATTTGAACGAGCTTTCAAATATGGACCAGAAGACTGCGAGGAGCTCTTCAAACAGGCTCTGCTAACGCCAGTAGCCCGGTTTGGGAATAGTGCAGGCGAATACTGTAAGTTCCATTTTGTTTTTCCATTCCCATCCTCTGACGGATTTGGGATCATATAGAGACTTCTCAGTGATCTATGGATATGGTTAATGCAACTGTAGTGTATTCTCTGACCTGCTATTGACGATTCTGGTAGATCTCCACCTTCTGTCATCATGCTGCCTGGAAATGCCCACTCGAGCAGCGCATTATGCTGCCGATGCAACCCCTAAAGTTTCGGATTTCGAAAGTCTCTGGAAGGCCTGGGATATGGTGACCATTTCCATGATTCCTAAGCATGAACTTTTGTCAAAGCCGATTAGATTGCGGAATGCTCTAATTTTCTACCTGGGACATACACCTACTTTTCTTGGTAGGTTCATGGACTTAAACCCGGCCTGTGAAAATATTCATGCTGAACTTCATATCAGACATCCACTTGACACGAGCCACAAATGGCATTCCAACGGAGCCTGCGAAATACCATTCAATATTTGAGCGTGGTATTGATCCTGATGTAGATAATCCTGAGATTTGTCATGCTCATTCTGAAATCCCGGACGAATGGCCAGCCATTGGTGAAATTCTGGCATACAGAGACGCAGTCCGGAACAGAACGCGCCCTCTTTTAAGAGATGGGAAAATGGGACGACGTTTGGCTGAGGCGCTCTGGCTTAGCTTTGAGCACGAAGCCATGCATTTGGAGACATTTCTGTATATGCTGTTGCAGAGTGATAAGACTCTACCCCCTCCGGGAATTCCTAGGCCAGATTTTGAGGCATTGGCTAAACAATCAACCTCCAACTCAACGCTAAATGCTTGGTTCACCATTCCGGAGCAAAAGATTTCCATTGGGTTAGAAGATCCAGGCAGCGATGTTATCCCAAAACAGTCTTTCGGTTGGGATAATGAGAAACCGAAGAGAACAGCCGTTGTCCCCGCTTTTAAGGCCAAAGCCAGGCCTATTACAAACGGGGAGTACGCAAAATATTTAGAACAGAATCACATCACGGCTATTCCCGCTTCCTGGATCGATTTAGCACCCAGGACAAAGGGAAACAAACAGAATGGGTATGTGAACGGAGCGAGCTCCTTGAGAAATGGGGATAGCCAAACAAATCGAACAAATGCCAGTGCTAGCAAGGATTTTCTAGAAAAATTCGCTATTCGTACTGTATTCGGGCCAGTTCCATTAAAATGGGTGCTAGATTGGCCCGTCATGGCTTCCTACAATGAACTTCAGGGGTATGCGAAGTTTGTGAATTGCAGAATCCCCTCTTTTGAAGAAGTACGGAGCATTTACAAGTACTCCGCTCTTTTCAAATCGAAAGAAACCAACGGCGTGCCTTCTTTGACAAATGGAAATGGGTAAGTTGAAATCCACAATCTGACAAGACCGACCATATAATTTGGAACTTAACCCTTGGAATGGATGCCTGCTAACTCTTGAATAATCCAAAAAGCAGCGACGAAGTTAACGGAATCGACAAAGGCTTCACCAAACTAGTTGATCCCGCTAAAGACATGCATGGCAACCCCCGTACACCGGATCACCAGCCTGTTCAATCCCATTCAGCAAACCTCATGCCAGTGTATATTGATCTTGACGACGATTGTAACGTCGGGTTCAAACACTGGCATCCCACTCCCGTCACCCAAAACGGAAATAAGCTTTCCGGCCACGGTGAACTGGGAGGAGTTTGGGAGTGGACAGCCACTCCCTTCCATGCGCATGAAGGGTTCAAGGCCATGGATCTTTATCCAGGGTATTCGGGTATGTGTTACAATATTCTCTAGACCCCCCTCATTTTCATTATTCTGTCACTAGCTGACGTTTTTGTAGCCGACTTCTTCGATGGAAAACATAACATCGTTCTGGGAGGTTCTTGGGCAACCCATCCTCGAATCGCGGGTCGGACCACATTGTAAGCTGCACCTATCTATCTATTGTCAAAGCTCTATTTGATGATGGAACATATTAACTTCTCAATTTCTTCAGAGAGTTAACGGTTCTGCTAACGTGGGTTTGTATGCAGTGTCAACTGGTATCAACGAAACTACGCTTATGCATGGGCAGGTGCGCGTCTAGTTCGAGACATCTAAAGAAGTTTGATACAGAGCCATATGTTCTCTTAAAGCTCCAAGAGTTTCCATCTCTCGTTTATCGTATCTGCCTCTATTCGTTTGATTTCGGGGAATTGTGATGGGGTTGATCTATATAAAAGGGTGAAATGTAATGAAGAAGTGAAAGGTGGCGGAGTGACAGGTCGGGTAAACCTGACAATAGGTCTTGTTTTTCACAATTTCGCTTCTGCCTTTATACTATTTAATAAATATTGAAAATTCACATTTTATTGTCACCATGCGGTTATGCTTAAAACTTTTAGAACGACGTACCAAGGAAGGTAGATATCAGAGAAAGCAAATACAAGGAAGAAGTGAGCGAACAGGAAGAGACACATGAAAAAAACTTTGGATATAATGCTGCCGCGCAGACCAAGACTTTGAATGAATTCTGATAGTCTAGACGTGCAGATAAGTCGAATCACAAAGTCATGGCGTAACGATGTCCCAATCTCTCCAAGCTAGAGACCACACATGATTCCACAAACTGTTACAAAACATACCACGCAACAGCCATCGCGGAGCAGCTCATTATAAATGCCATAAAAATGTTGACTTGGTTGTTATCCAATATATCGTGCCCAGCCTCAATCTTGCGGCTTTCATGCTCCGGGTCAGGGAGCTCTCCAGAACTGAAAGACCGGCGTTCCCTCAGAATGGGCTTGGAGGTTAGGATGTTTGCTATGTCTTCCGCAACACGGATACTGCTTCCTTCCCTGTTGGACGGCTCTTCAAGGCCGGTGATAATTGCTTCTCCTGGGTGTACGAGAACCTAAGACGCAAATGAGTCTCACAATTAAGGGGAGGATATTGGTTTGAATTGGGACGGAAAAAGAAAAAGAAAAGAAAAAAAGAAAAAAAGAAAAATTAACCTTTAGCCCCCCAGCGCTTTCTACAATTTTGCCAGTACGTTTATCAACCACGCTGGCTTGTAGGAGACCTCCCAGAACACTATCCAACACACTCCCTAGCGTGCCCCATATTGTGACAACTAGAATCCAGATGAACTTCTCTCTCAACCCCCAAACTGTGTTGAAACGAGATTTGGGTAAGTTAACTTGGGATTCGGTGGAGCAGAATGGCAGTAACAAGGATGTAACTCCAATGATGAAAGCCCCTAGAACAGCTGCCAGGAATCCTGCTATGGTAACACCGCCATTAGTGCCTGGAGGGACTTTTCGTAAGCTCCATGAGGTAATCAACCTGGGCTGGCTTTTCGAGAGAATCCCAAGTTCACTTGAAAATGTGTCAGCAGCGACAGCAGTGTAGTTCCTTTTTTGTTACGAAATTAGTGAAAAAGTTAACTATATCTACTCCAATCTAATTTTTTTTTTTTTTTTTTTTTAATCTCGAGAGAATAGACTTACGCGACAATCCCAATCATTAAAATATCTCCTCCGGATGGGAAGCAATGGGATTCCACCGGGCCAAGTTGGTACAGCCGTCGGGTATCCAAAAGAATTAATATTGACGCAACAACAGAATTTGCCAGCACCTGAACATGAGTTCGAGGCGCTTCCCCCCCAACAGAACCAGACGAAGAAATAGTCAATCGAGACTTCACATCATGTTTTACCTGAGCATGCCTTAATTAACTATTAACACCTCTCAGAGATAAAACAATAAAGCTTGTAACACTACCTTGGTTACATAGGTTCCGGCCAGGAAGAATGCAACGAGTAGAGCGAATGGCGCGGAGCTCGGATGCATGGCATGAACCACGGCAGTGAGCACAGCAGCAATAATGCCAACCGGCGTAAGGGACCTTCGAGACCACGCTCGATACACTAGAGCCAGGATAGAAGGAACCGCAATTATCGGCTTCATGGCGAGGAATATATCTGAAAGATTTTTGAAGCAAATCACAGCTCGGAAACTTTCAGAGTTCAAAAGGGAGAGAAGGAAAATACCTAGGGATAGATAGATAACTAATTGTCGTGCGCCTCTCCCAATCTAATATCCCGTTAAGCAGAGTGAAAATGGATATAGTTCTTCAACCAATATCTCCGACGGCCACGAAGGGAACAAGAGAATCTCTGGAAGAAACGCATCCGGAGATCTGCAGAATCCTGCTCACCACGGCATTGTTTAGATGCTTTGAACCATTCATCTGTTCTCCGGCGGAACACACCATCAACAATACAGTCACGATGCTTTGTTTCCATTGAACTAGGCTTGATAGAGACTAGCGTACTTCATGGTCCAAGTTGACTTCAGAATTATGACGTAATCTCGATATCCCGAACCAACCCAACCCTGACTCGAAGAACATTCTGAGATGCAACCGAGATTATGTACAATCGATATTGGTGGCATGTCGCACGGGGCCGAGCAGAGCTTGTCGTAATGCCATTGAGACTTGTCTTCTTATCCCCGAATCGTTCAATAGCACGTTCTCCCATCCTTCTCTCCGCGCGCAACTCCCGCTCGGTTCATCTAGCCCCTCCCTATCTCCTTGACGAATATATCCCGCGCTATCAACTCCTCTCGTCGGTTGATGCAGCGATAAAACGCTCTACGGCATATGCACATCTGCGAAACTGTAATTTGTGTCCTCGTCTCTGTGGAGTAAACCGGTATGAGAAGACAGGCTACTGCCTGATACCTGGAGGGACAGTTAAGGTGAACGTCATTGCGCCACATTTCGGAGAAGAGCCATGCATTCAAGGCTCAAGGGGAAGCGGATCTGTTTTCTTCTCGATGTGTAATTTGAGATGCACTTTTTGTCAAAACCATGTTCGTTAAGCCCTGTGCTTTGTGGGATTCGACCGCTTTTTCATGCGCTGAAACCCTTGACTAAGTTTCCACTGCCACACAGGACATTTCTCACCAGCGGAACGGGTTTGACCTGACTCCGGAAGAGCTAGCAGAGTGGATGCTGAAATTACAAGATGTTGGACATGTTCATAATATAAACTTTGTCACGCCAGAACATGTGGTTCCCCAAGTGGTTCTAGCCATCTTAACGGCCGCTGAGATGGGCCTCAAAATACCGATAATCTACAACACCTCATCATTCGACTCTCTAGATTCTCTGGCCCTCCTTGACGGCCTTGTTGATATATATCTTCCAGATTTCAAAGTTTGGAAAACAAGTACTTCCAAGCGGTTGCTGAAGGCAGATAACTACACCGAAACGGCGATGGAGAGCATCAAAGCTATGCATGCCCAGGTCGGGGATTTGAGCTTTACTGCGGATGGGATCGCGAAACGTGGAGTGTTGGTTCGGCATCTAGTAATGCCTGGGAAAGAAGATGAAGGACAGGAGATTGTGCGTTGGTTGGCAGAGAATGTTTCAAAGGATTTATACATTCATATTATGGAACAGTATCATCCTGATGCGCACGTAGGTAAGAAGCGCCGAGGCAAATCTGGTGCTGAAGAGGTTCGGTATGCGGATATCAATCGTGCAATCAATGAGAGAGAGCTTGGTGCTGTCACCAGTGCAGCGAGAGATGCGGGATTATGGCGATTATGTGAGGCAGCAGAGCATGGAGGCTTCCATCTGTAACGGCTGCAACATATTTCAGGCCTCAGTTGAAAGGTCTCGACAACATCTTTGGATGGGGATCAACCAGGGCGTTTAAAATAAACAGTTTTCGTTTTCGTCATATGGGGTGTCATTAACCCGTGCTGTTCCATTCCTGACAATGTTATGGTCGGTCATACGAACGTTGCAGGGGACTCCAAGAGGCATGAGAGGAGTGAAATGCTACGAAATGGTCATCTCGACTTTTTGTGGTTAGTGGTAAAGGTCCCATTCGCCATCATCTGATAGGAAGTGGTTCTGGCTTTCGACTCAAAATGCGAGCCCCAGTTGTCCAAGGGGCGATCATGCCCAAGGTCGAGGTTGGAAATAGATATTTCTGACGTGGCATCAAAGCACACGGCAGACCTCGCTGGCAAAATCTCACTCGCCAGCCATTGGAAAAGTTAGGTCTTCGATTTGGATTAATCCTTCCCGCATAGTTGATTCGACGTGTGTTGAAATAAACCAAGCAATGTTCCACAGAATGTGGGATGACGTCTAGATGACCTAAAGCTATCTGCCTGATGTCTTATATTTTGATGGATTAGACTTGAGGTTAGGCAGCCCGCGACACATCCCATCCCGGGTTATCACACCTGGTTTCTCTGGCAATTGCCAAAGTATATTAAAATATCTGTGTCAAGTACAGTAGCGAGAGGAAGGTGATCTGGAATGGAACGGAGAAGTATGATAAAGTCTCCTCTGATACAACTAACGTGTAATGTAGAAATAGCTGGCCGCGATATTTTGAAATAGGATCTATGGTTGCCGTCATCCACAACCGATTTAGAACCGGATGGATGGGTTATGTATTATGAAAAGAGTCAGATAGAGTAGAAGAATAGAAATTAACACCTGCAACCCAGTTAAGAGTTGTGGAACAATGGCAACGCATGTCCGGTGCAAAGGAAAAAGAAGCACCTCCTCCCAAAACTACACCCTAGACCGCGAAGCAAGGAAAACAGGGTATATAAAATATATTGACGAGACAACAGTAGATCCAGAAGACGCACAGTGGGCCTGAGTGGTGAAGGAAATAATATCATTCTCCAAGTAGTTTTGGGGCAAATGTCTTGTGGCTCGAAAGCATCAACTAATTACAGACAGACAGACCGCTAGCCACCCAGTCCCATTTGCAGTCCACAGTTAATAATGCAGTGATAAAACCTCCCTCCGCCGTCGCTTCTGCTCTTCAACATCTTTGGGAATTTCGGACTTTTCCCACGAACCTGTTCAGGAGCAGAGCACAGGATTTTGGTTAACAATCGGTTATATTCAGAACCAGGCATGAAGCATGTGGTACACGGTGTACACGATGTCGAGGCGGGTTCATATACCAAAATACAGTCAAATAAAAGAATCTTTCAATTCTCAATCCTGCCAAGTAAAATATCATATATCTAGAGAGTGAGAGCGTTTTGAGCGGCTATGTTCTGTGGCAGTGCCGTTGTGCCTTTTCTCTCTTTTCTCTCTTTTCTCTCTTTGCTTCCCCTCCCTCCATCGTGTCGAGTCTAAATGAGTGGGAGGGTAATCAAATTATTACTGTCAACGGGAGAGGGGCTCATTTACCTCCTGTTTTAGCAGTAAATTCTCCTTCGATTTCAACATTCACCTCCCAGTGACGGCCTCGGGCGTTAGAGCGATCACTTTGAGAGGTGCCGGGATAAGTAGGAAGATGGGTGCATCCATTGATTGCATCCTATCTATCTATCCATGGATGAGTAAAATATCCGGCTATTATTTCATGGCTTCAAACGAGAGCAGTAATAATAGTCTTTTTTCACCCTCAACATCTTTCGACCCCACCTTCAATTCTTAATGGACAATTAATTACCGTCGATTGTTCCATTGAACCAGTCCCATTGGAATATTTAGTTAATAACCTATCAGAGCCTGCATGTCAGGAATAAAAGCTAATCTCAAAATCCAGAATCTCAAACCCCCCCCCCCCCCCCCCCCCATCTCTCTCCATCGCATAATGTCCAGTAACCCTAACGGCACATACGCCAACTTCATCAACACCGTGCAAGTCCCGCAAGAGGACATCGATTTCTTTTCGTGTCTCCCATGCGCCAAGCCATACCTCCACAACCCAGACATCTACCGCATCATCCCGTTTCTTCCCCGCTTTGATAAAGGGGAAGACACCACGGACAGATTCTTCAGCAATGTTATAAACTCCCCGGAGACAATCCCGCGGATGATCGCTGTGATCCGCAGGCCAGAATTGAATTTAAACCCCATGGCATTAGCCGCCATTAAGCCGGGTGATAACAGTGAGAAACCACTCACAGCAGCAGCAGCAGCAACAGCAGCAGCAACAGCAGCAGCAGCAGCAACAACATCAGGACAACAACCATCTGCTGCTGCAGAGCCGGACTTCCTCCTCTTCGTACAGCTGGGACCTTCTCTAAGTGGGTTCCGCGACACTGTTCATGGTGGCATCTTAGCCACGCTTCTTGATGAAACGCTCAGTAACTGTGTGGAAGGGTTCCGGCAAGATATGACTGTGGTTGGGACGCACGAGAGGCCCCGTCTGTACACAGCCAATTTGCAGATTTCTTATCGGCAGCCTGTGGCGACCCCAGGAGTGATTATTGTTAAGGCGTGGTTGAAGGGAGTTGAGGGCAGGAAGTGGTTCTTGGAGGGACACGTAGTTGGGGAGGATGGGCGGGTCCGAGCCGAGGCGAAGTCACTGTGGGTTATGGAAAGGACAGGAAGAGGGAAAGATGCTGCCGTATTATAGGCAGAGAGATGGTTCCGTGACAATAGTGATGGTATATAATTAGGTCGAATATGACAACGAAATGGTGTGCATGTAAATAGAACGTGAAATAGATTGGGAAGCTGGACAAGTTTATCGTAGAAATATCACACACACCAATAGACATCGTTCGCTGCATATGCTTTATACGAATACACCCAACACCAAAGCCGGAAGAGCTAAGAGAGCGTAATACTAACATAATACAAGGTCCACGTTCCGCCAGTGAGAAGGTGGACAATAGTATATCCTGACCAACCAGTTAAGAGTGGAAAAAAAAAAAAAAAAAAAAAAATCTATGTACACCTAAGAAAATGAACCTCACCCACCCTCATACAATAACAAAGGGGAAGGAGATTTCCAAAAGATGACAAAACGATTTCAAGAACATTAGGATGAGTCACAAGGAAGAGTAGATAAAATAGTGAAAAAAAATTTCGCTGGCCGCCATAAACACCGAACGGAATGTCATTGGATGGTGCATTATCGAAAACGAAAAGACTACTGATATATGCATGTTGGAGTGAGATGACGATCCGTCCCCTCTGCATATTTTGCTTTTTTTCCCATCCAAGTATAAAGAAACACACAAGGCATATCGAAAACAAAATGTATATATAACCGAAGATCGGATTAAGAGAAGAAATATTCGCTGCTTTTCAACCTCTTAACATCGAACTCACCCTGTGTAACGAAGAAAAGAGTCCAGTTAGTAAACAAAAGCCAGAGAGAGTAAGAAGAGAGCGGGTATCTAAAAAGGGAGTCTTAAGTAAACTAAGACGGATGCTTACCTTCGCGGGAACAGGACGGAAAGTTAACGGTAACCAAACCCAGGTTGGGGAGCGCTTATAAGAGCTCGTCTTTTTTGCCTTTAGGTTTTGCGGATCCTGCGTTTCGCAAGGCTCTTCCAGCTTCTCAGACTCCTCCGTCGAGAGTTCAGTAGGTTTGTTAGGCACCTGAACGGCATCAACATCAAACAAATCGTCAATGTCCGGTTCCTCAAGTTCATCCAACAGGCCTTCTGCAGTTGCAAGTTGACCTCGGTCGGACTTCCCGGACTCGTCGGTCGGGACTTGACCGATACCAGCTACACCGAGGGATTGCAACGCGACAAGCGACGACTCCGCATCCTCAAACTTCGCAAAGATGGATCCAGCAGTGACCATTTCACGTCCCTCAGCCTGCAACTCAGGGTCCTCCGAACAAAGAAGCTTGATTCGCTTATACTCATTAACTAGTTCGCCCAATTGCGCTCCTTTCCCTCTTTTCGCTTTGTTGGCTCTGCGCCATTTGGATATCTCTTTGGCCACTCTTGTGCTAGACTGGATTTGAGCTAGATACATGTGATTTGCATATCTTGTTTTAAATTCGGATGCAAGCCTCTGCACGATATCTTCGGAGTGCATTAAAATGAAGGCATCACGCAGCACTCGGTTCATCGTATCGACATCCGCTGCGTGGGTCCAGAAAGAGTCATGAACGGCAGAGAAGGAAAGGCCAAGTTCATCGCACTTGACCGCTGAAAGAAACATGTGAGTTGCATCGAGGGAGTGGACAAAATTTGGAGGGAAGGCTTGTAATTGTTTCCGCTTGTTGATAACGTCACTGGCCTGAGGGTTGCGGATGCTGAGCTGTTGCAAATCGCTGTATACTCTAACACAGGCGGCGTCCCTGTAGGGCTGGGCAACTGGAAGTTTTAGCGGGGTCGTCCAAACAACTGTGGATTTAAAGTGCGCTTTGGGATTCTTGATAGCTTTGGCCAACTTTTTTGAACCTCTGAAATTCCCAGCCACCTCGAGACCCTTTCCGTCTGACAAAGTCTCGATCTGCTCTGGGCTTAAAGACTGGCTGATGCGATTAGCGCAATCACCAAGCCAAAATTGGATGTTGTGAGCTCCAGTAAACATGGAACCCAATGCAGCAAAAATTTTTCGTGCAATATACGTGGCATATTGGCCAACAACCCCAGAGTGAAAGAGTTCAGGATAGTGATCCAATAACTGCTTTCGTACTTGTCGAATTGCACCCAGGAAGGTGACGCCGTAAACGTTGGTCATGACTGTTTGCTTGACGATTTTCCTGGTTATTTTATTTTCAAGGAGTTTGGCAGTCTCGTTTCCGTCTGCAGCATCCTTTTGAATGGATGCTTTGACATGCTCGGCCACACCAGTATAGATATCGGAGGGGCGATCAGAAGGTTCCAGGTTCACCTGTTGGGCACCTATAATGTCTCCTCCCAAAGCAGCATAATGTTGAAGACCATTGCAAGAACCATCCTGATGAACAGGCAAGTGAGACACAAACTTGGTTGGGTCTTCAAGTTGCATAGCATTTGTCAATTCAATACATGCTGCAAGGCACTGAAACGGGTCTGCAGCATCGACCCACCACTTCTTGCCCTTTAGACCGTTTATGGCTGAGTCCCGGATATCTTCGAGATGGTCCATTGAAAACTGTTCTCGTTCCTGGAAGCTCGCTTTATCGAATCCAAAAACATTGGCAAGATGGATCTTCAACCACCTCAGGCCACTTGTGCCCAATTCGCGGCCTTTGCTGAACAAAAGAAGACCACGGCAATGATCGGCACCCATTTGGTTAAAGTAGGGTGGCATGGGATATGCACGCCCTCGGAAATCCAGGTTATGGGGAAGATAGAAGGTTTCATTTCTATATGCACGCGCAATTTCTAACTGGAAGTTCTGGAAGCATCGTTGTGAATGGTAACTTGAACGGGTGTTTGCGGCATGCATTTTCGCACGATAGTAATCTATAAGAGCATCTCGATCTTCGGTGTTAGGCCTTTCTGGTTCAGGAATGTCAGGAGTTTCAGGAGCAAGGTTAGCAATTTCTTCGCCAGAATTCCAGGCCTCAAGCATTACTTCTAATACTCCTCGGTTAACTTTCCAGCCTGTCTTCCCTAAAACGGTTAATCCAGCGAATACTGTATCTAGGTCTCCACGTGCGGCAGCGGTTTCTACGTAACTCAACTGAGATACATCTCCTTCTTTGACACGCAAGACAGGGGATGGAGATTCAAGAAATCCGCCGTTTCGAGCGCTGGTCCAGGGACGTGGGGGGCAGACCATGGGCAAGTGTTTCGCCAACAAGTCTCCAAGGGGTTCTCGACGTAATTTCTCCACGATGCGATCATGAGCATGCACATAGCCAACTCTGAAGCCACGTTCCAACTGGTAAACCCGCCTGAAGGCCATCTGATCAGATCTCTTTGTCTTATTTGTCTTTGGATCGTTTGAAAACACCGGCACAGTTGCGGACGACAGCAACATTAACGCAAGGCAAGCGCCAATTTTGGCTTGAACAATCGGTGACCACTCAACAGGCCTCTGGCTCTGCTCGAATCTCGCGATTAATCGCTTCCATTGAACCTGGGCTTTTCGTGTACCTTTGTGAACAAGTTTATCGATGAATTTCGAGGTTCTCCCATTACTTCTAGACTTATTTTCCAACTCGCGAAGCTGCATAGCCATGAACTCGTCATGGATCGACTTCCCCAAGTACATCACGAGGATCGTTAATTTAACGCCTTTATCCACGCCATTCTTATTAAGCGCATTAAACGTGCTGAGAATGGTTAGCGCAGCCAGTTTGTCCATTTTAATTGCCCTTAGATATGGAGATATTTCCACGCGTTTAGCATCCTCTGGTAGCATTCGTGTCTTTCGTTCCGATTCCTCAATACGTTCCAGCTCCTCTGTAATCTTTGACATAAGCTGGGTATGCCAATCGTACAACAGAGCGCCCATTGGTTTGCCGGGAACAGGATTGACCCCTACCTTGCGTAGATTCTCGCTTTCTTTATGCCAGCGGGCGATAGCAGATTCGACGCAGTCCGATTCAAGACGACGCTGCCTCATTTCAGCGTATACCAAGTCTTGTTCCTCTGGGGAACCAGGCAGATCGGATGGTCGAGGAAGGGATTGTTGTGGATCAAAAATAGATAATGTCTCCTTAAGAGAGCTAAGACCCAGACCCTTTTGATTGGCAGAGAGAACAAAGGGCAAATCATCGGGCATGTGTAATTTTGGATTGACTTTGGAAAAGTCTTCACCTGGCTCGATGTCAGATTCGTAGGACACAGTTGGATCACCATCGGCAGTCTCGGAACATATCTATTGAAGATGGGCCGTTAGCAATTAGAAATACAAAGGCAGAAAGAATCTGCAATGTCATCAAAGAGTCGCAAATCATACCTCCGAAAGAAGACCTAAGTCCGCTTCTGATAGAATAGGAAGACCCAACACCTCTTCTTCAATCTCTGCATCCTTTGCAAGATTCCAATATCTCCTCACGGTACGCTTCTGCTTGTTTTCAAATAACATGCGCAGCGCCATCTTAATCATCAATGCATATGTCGCGGCATCCGGCTCCGCATAGGCATACTTCATGTCGACTTCAAACCATTTCTGGGCCCACCACACCATCCCGTAGCGTCGGTGAACAATCATATGCGATATCATCGAGCGTAAATATTTATTATGAAGATCAAGCACCTCAGGTGTCCCGTAACCAATTATCTTTGCAACGCGATGAATCAAAATCTCAGAGCGTTTGAACATGGCTGCGGAAAGGCTGACATCGATGTTGGCAAGCATCTCGCTTAGCTCGCCGCCAATGCCTTTGGATCTTCTAAGCGCAGGTGGCTGGCTGAATAGAAAATCTTTCCGAATGATGAGAGATGAAGTGTCCATGTCGTCCGGGTCGGGATAAGGCAACCGCTCGTTCCATGGTGAATTGGAAACAGGAGACAAATGAGGAGGTGAATGAATCTCCGCATGGCCATATGGGAGGTTTCCGAAGGGAATATTGGCGTCTGATGTCGCCGTCGCTAATGACCGGGTTGACCGCAAAGACACGCTATTAGGGGCCTCGAATGTAGGAATAATTGGCGGTCTGTAAACGGTTCGAATCCGGCTCGATTGAGCTCGCAGTCTTGGAGACGTTGCAGACAGCCATGGCGAAGA